ATTAACTGTATTTGTTATAATCAGACTTGATAAATACAGCCTGCAGAAACACTTTGATTGACATTCTCCCTTTGTACGTGTCATCAAAAGGGGAAAGCCCCGCCCACTAGTGACCATCTCTCCCTCATTCGCATAAACAGCCCTAAGTGAGAAGCAGCTGCCTGCTATTTACGTTTTTAATGTTAAGTAGCTCCTCCCTCTTTTGAAAAGAGCACAATTTGAATTTAAAGCGACAGTCACCAAAACGCCACAATTATTATTGAAGCCTTAAAGGGTCCATTTCACAGAGTTATTATCATTATTAGTGTGCTATTTTGAGCTGAAACTACACATACACTCTTTAGGAGACATCAGTGACTTATGTTACGTCTTGTAAAAAGCAGCATAATAGGTGATCTTTAAGATTAATCTGCATGTGTTTCAGGATTTCAGGTTTTCTTTCTGTATTTTTAAGCAATTCTGCTTTGAAAATAAAGAAAAGAAGCGTACAGATGTTCAGGTTGAGGACATCGTTGTTTTTACAGCATCATGAACACCACCCACACACTGACATTTACAAGTTTGCAGAGTTTAATTACAATGGTTAGAAGTTAAATATTTAATAGCGCCGCAATGACAATGCAAATGCCTAATCTAAGATTAAATAAATATTGAGATTTGTTCATGCACGCGCAGTTTACGGCCGTTTACAGCGTCATTGGGACTTCTTGCATGTTGCAAAACAAATACATAGAGTAGAAATGTGTATATAATCAGAATAAGCTCCAGTTTTGGAGACATTCAGGAAGTTTGTCATTGCAACATCTTCTGAAATATCAAATTAATCCACATCCTAAAATTTAGATATGAGGTGATATCAGTTCAACTCACCTACCAGAAAAGCTGTTATTTTTCTTGCAAGCACTGCAGCTCAAAAATGTTTACTTAAAAAAGGGAAATCCGAGAACACCCCAGAGAGAAAGCACTGGATCAATGAGCTTGTATCTTATGCTGCCCCTGAGAAAATATTTTATTCTGTCACAGGGTATATACAGAAATCAGAGATTGAAATTCAATACCCTTTGAGACCTTTTTAAAGACTCTTTGCATACATTTTAAGACCTCATCACCACTTCAGGTTTCAACCAGTAACATTGCAGACATTTTAACTTGCAGTTTATTTACGAAATACTGATTCCAAGAAATGAATCCTAAACTAAAGCTGTTTATATACTGAATGTTAATCCAGCAGGTGGCGCCTTTACAGCAGCAGGAATAACACTGTTTCCCTGGTTACTGCAGTAAACAAAGCAGCATGACGTCAAATCTAGCAGGATTTTTTTGATTTCATAAACTACACAGCATCCCAATATTGAAAGACTAAATCCAGGTAAACTTAATTTAATACCTTGTAAAAGAGAATTTATGACTTTTTAATACTTTTTAAGGGCCTTGATCGCTGGTGATCGTGACAATATGATTAATTATATTATTAACAATGAAGAACTGAAATTAAAACACACATTGCCTAAAACCAAGTCAGTTTTCCTTATAAAAAAGTTAAAATAAATAACTTTTGGAAACAAAATTAATTATTTTCAATGTTACATTTTTTTATTAAAATTTTTTTTATTGCATTTCTTGAATCATATATAAACAAATATTTTATTTTAACCGCAGTTAAACTCTGCTGCTATTTTGGGATTTCTGCCTAAATTTTGCCTACCCAAATTTATAAGCTTCCCAAATCCACATGCAGAGGTGTGAATACAACAATTTGGTATTAATTTAAAAAAAAAAACATTGAATTTTCATAAAACACTATTGAAAGTGTTTAAAATATCTGTATATGTTGTCTGTGTTATAATAAACACCTAAAAAAAGAGGCGCTTTTTGTGTTTTTTTTTTATAAACTCAACTTTGAAAGTGTCTCTTTTAGGTTCTGTGTGGTCTAGTGTGCTGTAATTAATGTTGGTGGTTTCTGCACATGTCTGTAATCATAGGAAAAAAGAGAAATGTCTCCACCATAATCTGTGCAGAAGTTATTGCATTCCAACTGATGAGAGGTGCTGTACAAGCCACAGGGAGCGATCATTGTTTTCATATTTCACTATTCTTTTGTTTGATCAAACATAATTCACTGTGTTTTTACCACATCAGACATATAAAAGGATTACTTATGCACATCAGCTCAAAAACAGAGGAGAATGGCCCTGAAGCACACAGCATAAGGTGAGAGATGACAGCTGTCTGTGCTATCTGGGGCTGCTTACTGATCGTAAATGTATTGTTTTCATTTCTGCCCCATGGAAACACCGCGGCTCATTCAAGAACTGTTTGATCTTGACCGGCAAGAGCTTTCATTTGAGCTATAACTTGTATATGTGTCATATATGAACCATATGGAAAATATCAAAATGAACCAATGATCAATACCCAGCTCGGGTATCCAAAATACTGTGTATTTAAGTGTGAATAACTTTTGACCAGTAGTATAAAAACCAAAGTGATGCATATGTGCATAAAATATAGCTCCTACACTTTTAAACGAAACCACTTACGGGGGTCTGGTGCAATGCTAGCCCTTTAAATCGATGACGTTACCGACCCGGTACCCTGTCCGCAGAGTTTAACTGGTTAATGCAATTAAAAATATGCCGTTTCTGGCGCAGCTTCCGATCATCATCAATGTAATGCATACTTGCGACGTGTAGTTTGATTTTATACATAAAGGCGGCGCCAGACCACACCTATGCATTTGACTATGAATGTCGATTTCGATTACTTTTCAATTAATTGCCCAGCCCTAAAACAAGCTAAGTTAATAATAATAATAATAATAATAATAATAAAATAATAATAATAATAATAATAATAATAATTCCTACCATTTATATAGCGCTTTTCTGGGCACTCAAAGCACTTTACACAGGGGGGAATCTCCTCATCCACCACCAGTGTGCAGCATCCTCCTGGATGACGCGACAGCAGCTATTTTGCGCCAGACCGCACACCACACACCAGCTGATTGGTGGAGAGGAGACAGAGATGGAGCCAATTATGATATGAGGATGGTTAGGAGGCCATGATGGACAGAGGCCAGTGGGCAGATTTGGACAGGATGCTGGGGTGAAACCCCTGCTCTTTTTCGAAGGACATGAGGGGATTTTTAATGACCTCTATTTAACGTCTCATCCAAAAGACGGCGCTCACTGAGCAGTATAGCGTCCCCGTCACTATACTGGGTATTAGAACCCACACAGACGGCAGGTTGGGCGCCCCCTGCTGGCCTCACTAACACCACTGCCGGCAGCAACCTAGCTTTCCCATGTGGTCTCCCATCCAGGTACTGACCGGGCACAGCCCTGCTTAGCTTCAGTGGGCGACCATGTGAGAGTTGCAGAGAGCGAGCTGCCGGCAGAAATATCTGCAGAATCACATGACACTGAAGACAGGAGCAATGATGCTGATTCAGTGTTGAATTGCTAGATTAAATTACATCTTCAAATACATTAAAATAGAAACAACACTGAAGAAACATGTTAATGAACAGTGTCTGTGTTAAATGATTGGCATTTCCGGTTGTGAATTGCATTATGGGATGTTAATCTCTGCTTGATTTACTTTTGATGTTGGAAATTCAACTCTACAGTTTAGCAAAGTGACTTTTATTGACATTTTAGTAGTGAAGAATAATAATATACAGAATAATATCTAGAGAAATAATTCTGTAAAATACCAGAAAATGTGCTGCAGTCCAATACAAGGGTTTTCTAGCATTAAAGACAACAAAAACCCAGACGATAAAGCACTTTACACTAATAAAAATGTTCATGAAAGTCACTTTTTCAAACTTTTCAAAGTTAAAAGTTGCTGGAAGAGAGATCAAGAACCCATAATGCAGTTCACAAACATAAATAAATGGGTAAAAATAAAAAACAAGGATCACAAAATACAGAAAACGGCTAATTTATGGATATTTTACTTTAAATTATAATAAGTCACATGCTTGATCAACAATACAGCTTTAGTAAGAATCAAACACTACTTCATTTAATTGCTCAAGCTCATCTTTAGACTTTGGCATTTATAAACAAGCTTCAAGGATAACTTTATAATATCCGCGTCTTCTTCATCCTCCACATGTGTGTGTAGAGATTAATAATTACACACGGATTGTCAGTCAGCTCTGAGACGTCTGCAGAGGTCAAAGTCTTTGACTGCGGGTGTGTTTGGCTTCATATATAATTTTGCACACAGGTGTGAACGTCAAACTCGAATCATCTGAATATTAAACATGCATTACGGCGGAGAGAAACTGTAGTCTCTGTAATGCAGCGCCCGTCAGAAACACTCATCATTTATTTACTGCCGGACACATATATGTAGCCTTTGATTTGTTTTTCCTGCAATTACATGTTGCTTGGAGCTATATATTCATATTCAAAAGCAGAAACCTTTTTCACCGGTCTGCTCCTCAATAAACAATTGTACACTTTATTATTTATTCATTCCTTTATTTCTATTTACATGCAAGGCCAATATGATGTAGGAAACTTCATATAAAACTTCATTTTTGTGTTTATTATTAAATTAATCTTATATTTTATTTGTTATATATATATATATATATATATATATATATATATATATATATCCAATATTATAACTTCTTATTAAAAAACTATTTTTTTTAATTTTTTTTTTATTTAGTACAATGTGTGAATACATTGTTTTTCCCTGCTTTAATATTAATTTGTAAATCTAAATGGTCAAATGTTCTGATTTTCTCCAGAAGAAAAATATAACAAGAAATGCTTTGAAAAATGGTACTGCTCTCGGGCACTCTATTTAAAATATTTAAAAAATAATCAACATTTCACAAGAGATCTGGTCCTAAAACTACTGATTAATTCCCTGATTCCTAAATTTGGACGTTTTTTAATCCAATTTAAATGTTGACCCATTTACAGCCATTTAATTTGTGCTCAACACAACATAAAACAAATCAAACCTGCTCCAGAAGGGGCGTGTTCCATCGCGTCTCCACCCCCTGTGGGCGGGGCATCAGGTGGCGCAGTTTTCATAAATCGCTGCTGATCTCTCCGCAGCAGCGGAACTCGAGCTCTCCGCCTCCGCAATGGAGTGTCAGGTCTCCCCGGTGTCCAACACACACCCGCTATAGCGCTCCTGCCCGCTCTACGAGCTGATGCAAGTCCTCCACAGACCCGGGCTGCCCCGGGCTCCAGACGCCGAGCTGTTGCAGGACAGGATGGGGGACTCTCAGAACCAGAGCTCCGCCAACAGCTCCGACAGCCGCTTCAGCACCCTGGAGGACATCGACCTGGCGGCGGAGGGCACCCTGCGCGTCACGATCTCCATCGTGTACTCGGTGGTGTGCGCGGTGGGGCTCGTGGGGAACCTGCTGGTCTTCTTCCTCATCAGAGTCCGCCAGGGCAGGAAGAAATCCACGATTAATTACTTCATCATGAACCTCGCCATCACAGACTTCCAGTTCGTCCTGACTCTGCCGTTTTGGGCTGTGGACACGGCGCTGGACTTCCACTGGCCGTTTGGGAATGTGATGTGTAAGGTGGTGGTGACGGTGACCGTGATGAACGTGTACGCGAGCGCGTTTTTCCTCACCGCGATGAGCGTGACGCGCTACTGGTCGGTGGCGTCGGCGCTGAAGGATCGCACGCGGTATAAGCGCTGCTCGGCGCGTCTGCTCAGCGCGCTCCTCTGGCTCCTAGCCGCCGCCGCGTCCGTACCCACCGCTATAGTGACCTCCGTGAAGACCATCAACGGCGTCAAGCTGTGCCTGCAGCGCTTTCCCAACGACCAGAACTGGCACGCGATCTACCACCTGCAGAAGATCCTGGTGGGCTTCGTGATCCCGATGCTGATCACGGTGGTCTGTTACGCGCTGCTGCTGCGCCTCATCCGCCGGCGGAGCATGAACAACAACCTGCCCAAGCGCAGATCCAGAGTCACCAAATCCGTCACCATCGTGGTGCTCTCCTTCTTCATCTGCTGGCTGCCCAACCACGCCATCACCTTCTGGGGAGTGCTGGTTAAACTCAACGTGATCCACTGGGATAAGGTGTTCTACATGCTGCACACCTACGTGTTCCCGGTGACCGTGTGCCTGGCGCACTCCAACAGCTGCCTGAACCCGGTGCTGTACTGCCTCATGCGCAGGGAGTTCAGGAAGATGCTGAAGGATTTCTTCTGGAGGATTTCCTCTCCCGCGATCGCCAACAGCTGCCAGATCCGCCCGTTCTCCGGCACCGCGAAGGAGCGCGAGGACAGCCAGGCGGCGATCCCGCTGCACGTGCTGGAGACCGAGGAGTACCGGCTGTCGGTGGCGAACGTGCAAACCGACGCGCTGCCCTCCACAGACTGCACCATTCAGAGGTAGACTGCAGGACCGAGCGGACTTTATAAAACTTTCTTATTGTTGTTGTTGTTGTTTGGAGAGCTGCAGCGCTTCTGTCCACATTCTGCACCGTGATTTAAACGCGTAGCTCCGGGTGTACAGAGTATTGAGACGCCATTCTGGGCTTATTGAGCTGCGTTGCACTTTTTATACGGTCCTATTTCACTCATGTTTTAGAGGGGATATTACTGCATTAAAAAATCTAATTGTGCACTCTAAAAATGCTGGGATTTTCAATCCAAATTGCGTAAAATATGGACAAATCCGAATGTTGGGTTATATTTGGTATCATAAAAAGCTACGCACTGAATAATATCTAAAATGAACAACTGGAGAAAAAAAGGTTTCGACTGCAAGCATTCTACAGTATTATATTTGGTCTTAGCTATAATAATAAAAAAATGAAGGTTGGTTTTGTCCATATACTACAACACAACTGGCTTGAATGACCCAGCCTTATTTGTTGAGTATTAAGATGCCACTGTGTTACTTGAGAGAAGATATTATTTTGAATTATGAACACTTGGTGAATTGTATATAAAGATATGACATGAATTAGTTTTTAATATATTAAAATTATTTTTTAAAATGTCTAACCAATCTCATTTACACACTTTTAATTAGGATTGGAATAAAAAAGGTATTTCATTAAAAAGTCAAAACTAATAATTCTAGGAAATCTTGTATAGTTGTATTAAATGAATCCAGATATTGAGATATCACACATGCACGCACACTAACAAACTGCTGAACACAAAATTATGAGTCCTTCTTTGAAATTTTAGTTTGTTTTCCATTTGATGTTTTCCAAGTGAGGATTTTTTCAGCACATTTTTACTCATGATCAATTTAATAACTTAATTCTTTTGTCTTTGCCAGGATGACAGTACATAATATTTGGCTTATTATTTTGGAAGATGCTAGCATTCAGCTTAAAGTGACTTATTACGTTAGGCAAGTCATTGCACAACAGTGGCTTGTTCTGTAGACAATCAGAAGAAATGTTTCTTAAGGGGGCTAATAATTTTGACCACAGCAGATTTAATATTTTTTTACGATATAGTTTTTGTTTGAAAACTTTCTCCATAAGAAAAATATAATAGTAGATATTGAGAAAAATTTGCTTGCTTTGTTAAACATCACTTAAATAATAATAATAATAATAAATCATAATCAAATAATTAAAATAAATTAATAGGTGAATAAATCGGCTTTCAATTATGTGTGTGTATACTGCTGAAGTCAGAATTATTTGCCCCGTTTATTTCTTTTCTCCAATTTTTGTTTAAGGGGGAGATTTATTCAACACATTTCTAAATATAATAGTTTTAATAACTGATTTATTTCATCTTTGTCATGATGACAGTAAATAATATTACACTAGATATTCTTCAAGACACTTCTATACAGCTTAAAGTGACGTTTAAAGGGTTAATTGGGTTAACTATGCAGGTTAGGGGAATTAGGCAAGTCATTGTATAATGATGGTTTGTTCTGTAGACCATCGAGAAAAAAGTGCTTAAAGGGGCTGATAATATTGACCTTAAAATGGTGTTTAAAAAATTAAAAACTGCTTTTATTCTGGCTGAAATAAAACAAATGAGACTTTCTCCACAAGAAAAAATATTATCAGACATACCGTGAAAATGTCCTTGCTCTGTTAAACATCATTTGGGAAAAATTTAAAAAAGAAAACAAAATTAAAGGGGGGCTAATAATTCTGACTTTAACTGTATATATATAAAATGCTGGGTAATTCAACTCAATTCTGGGTGTAATACAGACTAAACCAACTGCTGTGTCATTTAATTATTTAATTAAATTAGTAGGACCAAATTTAACCCAATGTTTAGTGGTTATAGTGTATACTTTACACAATTTGGGTTTGAATAACCCAGCATTTCTGTGAGTATATATTTTCACCATTGATCACACTGTAAAAGCAGCAGATTTTTAAGCAGCAACTTTAACCCCGCTCCAGTTTTTTTGCATCTGGTTTGTGACCTCTTTCTGTTGTTTGAGCTGACTGTCTGGAAATTCTGAAATAATTAAAATGTTCTGCTCATCTGCAGTGTAATAAAGCTGTGTCCGTGACCTCAGCCATGTGAAGGAGATGGTCCGAACGGAAATGAATGTAAACAGTGTTACTATGTTGTCCATTTGAAGGGCGTAATAAAGTCTCGTCTTATCATAGCGATGTTTGTTTTGCTCATAAACACAATTGCGAAGCGAACGCTTACTGTTATTCCATCTAATTAACATTTAACAGCAGGTCTGTGGTTGAGGGAGTAAATCCTCGGGCTGGCTGGAGAAACCTTCGTTTATTATTCCAACACAGACGCATAAACCCAGGCAAACAATAACACGACAACAGGGGAATTTATGAGCTTTATGATGAGGAGATGATTTAGTTCACAAAACAACAGGGCTTGCTTTCAGGTCTTGTTTTTTAGAGGTGATACGCTGATCAAACATGGTTAACATGTTAGTCTGACAAGACTTTGTTCAGTCGTTTATGTTAGAGGAAATGTTATATTACACAATCAACTATATCTATGTGTCTGTGTAAAGTAAAGAAATGCCATATGCCATGTCATAAAATTATCAGGTAAATAAACTGTGCATATTTAACAAAAATTAAGACTTTACTTGAAAATAGTGGATAAAACCCAATGCTTTTAAAGCGATTAAATGACTTAATAAAAGTGAGTAAACCAGTTGCTTTCAAATTATTATGTAACACTTTAAAAAAAAAAAATAATTTTATGGTTCATTTCCAGCAGTTGGGGTGCCGGATAAAAAACGTAAAATAACAGCCGTTAAATTACAGAAATTTACTGTAAAATAACAGAGGTTGAATTACAGAAATTTACAATTCAATTTAATACAATTTCTGTAAATTAATGGCCGTTATTTTACAGTGAATTTCTGTCATTTAATATCTGTTATTTTACAGTAAATTTCTGTAATTAATTGACTTATTTTACTGTAAATTTCTGTAATTCAATGGGTGTTATTTTACAGTAAATTTCTGTAATTCAATGGGTGTTATTTTACAGTAAATTTCTGTCATTTAATGGCTGTTGTTTTACAGCAAATTTCTGTAATTTAATGGCCGTTATTTTACAGTAAATTTCAGTAATTTAATGAACGTTATTTTACAATAAATTTCTGTAATTCAATGGCCGTTATCTCACAGTAATATTCTTTAATTTAATATCCGTTATTTTACAGCAAATTTCTGCAATTTAATATCCGTTATTTTACAGTAAATTTCTGTAATTTAATGGCCGTTAATTTACAGTACATTTCTGTAATTTAATGGCCGTTATTTTACAGTAAATTTCTGTAATTTAATGGATTTTATTTTACAATAAATTTCTGCAATATAATATCCGTTATTTTACAGTAAATTTCTGCAATTTAATATCTGTTATTTTACAGTACATTTCTGTAATTTAATGGCCGTTATTTTATAGTAAATTTCTGTAATTTAATGGCTGCTATTTTACAGCAAGCTTCTGTAATTTAATGGATGTTTTTTTACAGTAAATTTCTGTAATTTAATGGCCATTATTTTATAGTAAATTTCTGTAATTTAATGGCTGCTATTTTACAGCAAGCTTCTGTAATTTAATGGATGTTTTTTTACAGTAAATTTCTGTAATTTAATGGCTGTTATTTTACAGTAAATTTCTGTAATTTAATGGATGTTTTTTACAGTAAATTTCTGTAATTTAATGGATGTTTTTTTACAGTAAATTTCTGTAATTTAATGGATGTTTTTTTACAGTAAATTTCTGTAATTTAATGGATGTTTTTTTACAGTAAATTTCTGTAATTTAATGGATGTTTTTTTACAGTAAATTTCTGTAATTTAATGGCTGTTATTTTACGTTTTTCCCAGCTGCCGGAATTTTTTTACAGTGAAATTGCTGAATTCTAAAAAATGTCAACCTAACAGCTCAAAGTTACAACTGCACCGTAAAAAGTGTTTATAATAATAATAATAAAAATAATAATAATACATTTTATTTGTATAGCACTTTTACATGCAACTCAAAGTGCTTCACAAACAAGTTGATGATTACTTTAAAAAAGTGAGTAAACCCATTGCCTTAACATTATTAAGTAAATTAAACGTGCACACTTCTAAACAATTAAGTTCAATACATTTAACAGTTCCAAGTTGCAACACAATTCAAGATTTTTTTTAATAAAATCAACTTGTCCCTTTTAAGGCAATGGATTTACTCATTTGTTTTACGTAATCGCTTTTTACAGTGTAAATAGCAAATTACTTCAACTTAAATGGAGTAAGTTCACAGCACTCATATCAATTAGTTTTTGTGTTTTTTTACTCCAATGGTTTGAAGCAATCAGTTTCCTTAAATGGTTTGAGTTCCCTAACTAATTGCTTTAAAAGTATTGGGTTTTATTCACTAATTTAAAGTAAAGTCAACTAATCACTTTAAAGATCATCAGGTTTTATTGACTACTTTATGTAAAGTCAACTAATCTCTACCGGCAGGTGGGAGTGGCTCTGTTGTCACATGGTTTAAAAAAATTCCGTCACCGCACTTCATTCAATATTTTGAGCAGCTGAAGCTGATGAGGTAATAATACACCTGTTTTGCGAAACTGAATAGTTCTAACTACTGATGAAGCTTAATATTTGTTTTCACAGTATAAAATGTGTGTAGTTTTGGTGAACAAAAATAACTGTGGGTAATCAATAAAATGTGCATCATATTAATGTAAATACATGGATATTGGTCAGAACAGTGTAAATTGTACTTGCTTTCTAGATACGATATAGATATCTAGACATCTTTATCTAGATATGATATAGCCATCTGTTTCTGTAACAGTTAAATCACAGCGAGTTTAATTATCTAGCTAGTATATTATTTTAAAGCAATATTCAACTGTAACATGCTATGTCAGTCAGCAGCGGATTATTAATCGACTTTCTTATGAAAATACCCATGGTGGCTGGAAGAACACATACAGTTAAAGTCAGAATTATAAGCTCTCCTGTTTATTTTTTCAGCACATTTCTAAACATAATAGTTTTAATAACTCATTTCTAATAACTGATTTATTTTATCTTTGTCATGATGAAAGTAAGTTATACTTGAATAGACATTTTTAAAAGACACTTCTATACAGCTTAAAGTGACATTTAAAGGCTTTAAAGGAAGGTTAATTAGGCAAGTCATTGTATAATGATGGTTTGTTCTGTAGACTATCGGAAAAAATATATAGCTTAAAGGAGATAATAATATTGACTCTTAAATGGTTTTTAAAAAATTTTAAAAAACTGCTTTTATTCTAGCCAAAGCAAAACAACAAAGACTTTCCCCAGAAGAAAAAACATTATCAGACATACTGTGAACATTTACTTGCTCTATTACACATAATTTTGGAAATATTTAAAAAATAAAATAAAATTCAAAGGGGGGTGAATAATTCTGACTTTAAAACATTTATTGTCACAGTCGTGTAAATAATCAGTTAAACCCTTTTTATGTTTATTCAGATCTTATTTTCATTCAACCACTACTTTCATTCAACCGCTGGTGGGTACTTTGGGGCTAAGCCCCTTATTCCTTTTGACCCTAGCAACGCCCCTGATGTGAAGTCAACTAATCGGTCAAAAAAAAAAAAAAAGGGTTTTATTTATTATTTTAAAGTAAACTAATTGCTTTAAAAGTAATGTTTTTTATTCACTATTTTAATGTAAAGTCAACTAAAAACTTTAAATTAGCCAATAAAACCCAATGCTTTTTTATATTTTATTGATTTTAATGAACATACAAACGTAAACAAACAAGGGCAAAGACAAATGTATCAAATGTAGCAAAAGGCAAAGAGAAAAAAATCAATAATTAAATAAATAAAAATAAAATAATAATAAAGAAATAACCTCTCTTTTCATGACTAAATATCAAATGGCGAAATTGCAGATATTTATAAAAATGTCCTCTTGGTATCTTGAACTCTTGCCTTAAGTCAGTGAAGGATTTAGGGGTATCATTGACAAAAAAAAAAACAATGCTTTTAAAGTAAACACAATTAATCGCTTTAAAAGTGTTGGGTTTTATTGACTACTTGACTACTTAAATAAAGTCAACCAACCGCATTAAAAGCATTGGGTTTAATTCATTATTTTAAAATAAAATCAACTAATCCCTTTGAAAGTAATGGGTTTAAATCATTATTTTAAAATAAAATCAACTAATCCCTTTGAAAGTAATGGGTTTAATTCATTATTTTAAAATAAAATCAACTAATCCCTTTGAAAGTAATGGGTTTAAATCATTATTTAAAAATAAAATCCACTAATCCCTTTAAAAGTAATGGGTTTAATTAATTATTTTAAAATAAAATCAACTAATCCCTTTGAAAGTAATGGGTTTAAATCGTTATTTAAAAATAAAATCCACTAATCCCTTTAAAAGTAATGGGTTTTATTCATTATTTTAAAATAAAATCAACTAATCCCTTTAAAAGTAATGGGTTTAATTAATTATTTTAAAATAAAATCAACTAATCCCTTTGAAAGTAATGGGTTTAAATCATTATTTAAAAATAAAATCCACTAATCCCTTTAAAAGTAATGGGTTTTATTCATTATTTTAAAATAAAATCAACTAATCCCTTTGAAAGTAATGGGTTTAATTAATTATTTTAAAATAAAATCAACTAATCCCTTTGAAAGTAATGGGTTTAATTCATTATTTAAAAATAAAATCAACTAATCGTTTTAAAAGCATTGGGGTTTATTGACAACTTTAAAGTAAAGTCAACTAATCGCTTTGAAAGTAATGAGTTTCATTCACTATTTTACAATAAAGTCAATCAATCTGCTTTAAAAGCAATGGGTTTGACCACATTTTGTTAAGTGAAGTCGACTAATCATTTTAGACAGTATATTAAGTGACACTTTAAAGCTTCTGGATGGTCAGAAAACTATTTTAAGGAAAGTCACACAGACACATCTGGCACTTTGAAAACAATCCCACGGAGGTTGGTTAATGATTGAAGCCGTCTGGCAGGTGGTTTATCAGTTAAATATGGTGGGTTGTGTAGTTATTTCGTTTTCTGCTGTTTTGGGAAGATTTAGAGGCCGTGATATCTGTGATGTTCAGCTGGAGTGACATTCTGCTACTGATTTATTGAGGTTTGTTCAGCATCACCTGGTCAGTAGAGTCACTATCCTTTCGCAGTCCTCGTATTTAATTTGTCCGTCATTTGCCACACCAGCTTCACTCAGCAGCTCGTCAACTGTGACACAAAACATAAATATCATTATTATTCAGTTCGCCTCACTAATTAGCAATGTAAAAGTAATCATGAGTACGCTATGGGATGATGTTAAGTTAAACATTTCTTCTACTGAACACAAAAGGAAGATATTTTGAAGAGAGCTCGTAAAACAAAAACAGAATGATTTTAAAAATGTTAGAAACTTGTAACCATTGAAGTGCTCACTATTTTTTTTTTCCATACTATAAAGGTCAATGGTTTAGAACAGGGGTTTTCAAACTTTTTCAGCTGAGGGCCCCTTTGTGTAGGGCGAATTCTTTCGGGGACCCCCAAAAAATAAATATCACGCCACCCCCTCAAATTAACAACTGTACTTAATTTTTTTAAATTGTATTATTCAATACATTTATATTATTATATATTATTCAATAAATTTATATTATTCATTATCTGGATTCATTTTTGTAAGATGTTAGTTGAGTTGACATGGTTTCAGTGCTTCAATCTATTGATCAAATCTTCATGCGCAGTGTTTATTGTGGTCTTCTCTCACTGGATTCCATTAAGCCATATTTTGTGTTCGAGTCGTCACGTTTACACAGTTTTTTATGCCATTTTTATGCTTTTTTTATGCACAGCTAGACTCTTCTGTATACAGCTGAGAGTCTAAATGAATCTAAAGATTTAAAGCTTTAAAGTTTTAAAGAGTTTTGTCATTCATCAGCCTGTTAACAGTTCACTGTACTGTTGTAACTAGCAATACTACAATGGAGGCTGTAGTGGTTCAGTGTGTTTTGTTTATTTTTATTCCTTTTTTTTGTGCACATCATAATTTACTCAGGTCGACAATCCTGACTTACACTGATAAAAAATAATTTCCTAAATGCAATCTAGAATTGGGTATTCAAGTTCAAAGAGCCACAAATTTTATTTTGCTTAATTTTAGAAGCTTTGCTGACTTTAAAATGTTCATACCAGTTTGTTCTATTAATAATAATAATACTGAACATTACATTTAAATTAGTTACACAAACAAATATGGGAAAAAGTGGAACATCTTGAAAAAAATGCATTTATATTGAGAGTATTAAAATTTGATCAGATATGTTGAGCTCCATTAAATACAGAGCACTAATACATTTTAATATTTAATAATTAATTAGCCCTATAACATAACACAAACAGATACATTATAATTTTTATAGGCTATAGTGGTTTTACTCAGGGTGTATACAATTTAGTTTTTTTTAATCATTCAGTTATGAACCAATGTGAGTAAGAGGTCCACTGCAGAGCTCATCCAGCTGTCATCAGTGTAACAGGGGTGAAACTCTGAGCACTCGCTGATGTGATGACAGCTCCATTCATTGTTATTGCAGCACTTTTTGCTTTACAATTTTAATATGTTTGTTTGCCATTCTGCAAAGAGGACCGTCTGATATTTGTACAATGCAAAGTGTAAAGCCTGTCGCACTTTGGACAAGGTGCAATGTTGTGCCGTGTCTTTAAAATGCTATTTGTTCCCTATGAGTGAAGCCTGCGCAGAGAGGCGTGCACTCCGCAGCACCCAGCTGATCGCTTACTTAGGAACGCAAGCCATAAACAGAGAAGTGCTTTCAGCCTCCGATAATGTTCTTATTGATCATGTATTTTAACTGAAATATAGTCAGTAAATAGACCTGAGCATTCATTTAGTTGTTTAGCGTAAAAGAGGTAAGCGTAAGTGAAAGGTAAACGCCGTCAGGTGCGGCAGACAAGCGCCAAAAATCACAGGAAGTGCCCGCTTTAAAATCGATTTTGAATGGGCAGCCAATGGAGGCTCCTCAGGATAGGGGTAACATGGTCACATTTGCGACTGTTTTGAGTAAATCCAAACCTTCTTGATCTCTTAGTTTTTCTCCAAAGTGAGTCAGTCTGGCTCTGAGCTCTGCCGCAGTGATAAATCCTCGTTTCTCAGTGTCCGTCAGCCTCACGGCCTGCAGGATCTCGGCCCGCGGGTTCTCCTGCTGGATCTGCTCATGCATGATGCTGAGAAACGTGGAGAAATCCAACTCTCCGTGCTTATCTGGAACAGACAGAGAGGCAGAGAGCTTCGCCAAAAAGCTTTGCATACAGAATCACATCTGACAGGCTGAGAGTTATATTCCTACAGGTTTATATTTAGCACATTGCATCACATTTATTCAGAGCATGAGGAAAACATGTGGTGTTCAGTGTGGGGTGTAATTAGTTAGCATAATAATAATTATGACAATAATAATAATGTAAACAGTTATTGTACTTAAATTACTTATTTAATGAAAAAATAATGTTCTTCTTTAGCGAATTTAATTACAGTTACATACAATATACTTGCCTTAAATACTGTAAATAAATCCAACAGTTCAGTATAACTCCACATTAAATATAGATTAATAATATTTAGCAAAATAATTCAGTTTGTTACATAAGGATACATTCATCAAGATGACTAAGCATGTCAGAATTATTGACAATATACATTCACTGGCCACTTTATTAGGTACACCTGTCTAACTGCTTGTTAACACAAATGTCTAATCAGCCAATCACATGGCAGCAACTCAATGCATTTAGGGATGTAGACATGGTCAAGACGATCTGCTGCAGTTTAGAGCGAGCATCAGAATGAGGAAGAAAGGGGATTTAAGTGACTTTAAACGTGGCATGGTTGTTGCTGCCAGACGGGCTGCTCTGAGTATTTCAGAAACTGCTGATCTACTGGGATTTTCACGCACAACCATCTCTAGGGTTTACAAAGAATGCTCAGACAAAGAGGAAATATCCAGTGAGCGGCAGTTCTGTAGGTGCAAATGCCTTGTTGATGCCAGAGGTCAGAGGAGAATGGCCAGACTGGTTCCAGCTGATAGAAAGGCAACAGTAACTCAAATAAGGTCTGCAGAAGAGCATCTCTGAACACACAACACGTCCAACCTTAAGGCAGATGGGCTACAGCAGCAGAAGAGCACACCGGGTGCCGCTCCTGTCAGCTAAGAACAGGAAACTGAGGCTACAATTCACACAGACTCACCAAAACTGGACAATAGAAGATTGGAGAAACGTTGCTGCTCTGATGAGTCTCCATTTCTGCTGACACATGTTTGCATAAAAACATGGATCCGTCCCGCCTTATATAAATGGTTCTGGTGGTGGTGTAATGGTGTGGGGGATATTTTCTTGGCACACTTTGGGTCCATTAGTACCAATTGAGCATCAACGCCAGAGCCTACCTGAGTATTGCTGCTGACCATGTCCATCCCTTTATGAGCACAGTGTCTCCATCTTCTTATGGCTACTTCCAGCAGGATAACGCAGCATGTCATAAAGCTCACTGAATTCACTGTACTCAAATGGCCTCCACAGTCACTAGATCTCAATCCAATAGAGCAGCTTTGGGATGTGGTGGAACAGGAGATTGGCATCATGGATGTGCAGCCGACAAATCTACAGCTACTGCGTGATACTATCATGTCAACATGGAGCAAAATCTCTGAGGAATATTTCCAGCACCTTGTTGAATCTATGCACAGAGGATTACGGCAGTTCTGAGGGCAAACGGGGGTCCAACCTGGTACTAGCAAGGTGTACCTAATAAAGTGGCCGGTGAGTGTATGTATTGCAACATTTTTGGTGCAGCCCATTGTAGAATTTATATATATATATATTTTAGTTTAACCTAGCATTGTGCAATCTAAATAAATGTTGGATTGTCTTAACCCAACACCGGGTCAGAAATGAATTATGTATATATACACTCAAACAAATATATATATATAAATAAATAAATATGTTTAAATGTTATTTGATTTCAAAAGTTAAAGGGCACTGTTCGACAAATGTAAAGAATTTAAAGAGTTTAATTATAACCATGCTTTATAGAGATTTATGCAAGATTGAGTCAAGTAATTAAGGTGCTCAATAAGGAATAAATTAGCAGTCAGATACAGTAAATAGAAAAGTAATTTAAATGCAAATTAAGCAATTAGTAATTAATAAGAGTTTTGAAGTAGCATACTAGATGAAATTCAAATGTTCCTTAAGTGTAAACAACACTGGTAAATCCAGCGCTCTGTTTTTCCTCCGCGATGACTCTATAAAGCATCTATCTACATTCACTGTCCTTATCTGGACGTATTGGGCACCGAGGCTTGCCAATGTTATGGTTGAGCTTCTTCCACTCACTCCTACAGATTTCAAGTTTGTTTTACGTAGTAAGCAAAGTTTACACTGTTGACTTTACCTAGGGTTTGGAGGTTTAGGAGGATGTCGATCCGATAACTTAACGTCGGCGTGAGTCATTTGTTTGGGTCTCTTGAATACTTTCAGTTCTTCGGTTTAATGTTTGGATTCACTGTAAGTCGATGATCATTTCAGTTTCTGTGGATTGCCGTTTCCTTCATAAATAATTGGTGTTTAATGATACATTTTTAGTTAATTCAAATCTCATTTTCTATTTATATGATGCTTTTGCAATATTGATTGTTTTCAAGGTGCTTCACATAATAATAAATATGTCCAATATTTTTTAGCTTAGTCTCTATTTCAGGGGTCACCACAGAGGAATGAACTGCCAACTATTCCAGCATATATATACTAAATTATCTACTCTTAAAATGCACATAAACCCTTCTGATGATTGGGTTTGTCTGCATGTGTAACAGGGAGATGTCACATCCATAAAGGAGAGATGTCACATCCATAAAGGAGAGATGTCACATTCATAAAGGAGAGATGTCACATCCATAAAGGAGAGATGTCACATCCATAACGGAGAGATGTCACATCCATAAAGGAGAGATGTCACATCCATAACGGAGAGATGTCACATCCATAGCGGAGAGATGTCAAATCCATAGCGGAGAGATGTCAAATCCATAGCGGAGAGATGTCACATCCATAACGGAGAGATGTCACATCCATAGTAGAGAGATGTCAAATCCATAGCGGAGAGATGTCACATCCATAACGGAGAGATGTCACATCCATAACGAAGAGATGTCACATCCATAACGGAGAGATGTCACATCCATAACGGAGAGATGTCACATCCATAACGGAGAGATGTCAAATCCATAAAGGAGAGATGTCACATCCATAACGAAGAGATGTCAAATCCATAACGGAGAGATGTCAAATCCATAACGGAGAGATGTCACATCCATAACGAAGAGATGTCACATCCATAACGAAGAGATGTCACATCCATAACGGAGAGATGTCAAATCCATAACGGAGAGATGTCACATCCATAACGGAGAGATGTCACATCCATAACGGAGAGATGTCAAATCCATAACGGAGAGATGTCACATCCATAACGGAGAGATGTCACATCCATAAAGGAGAGATGTCACATTCATAACGGAGAGATGTCACATCCATAACGGAGAGATGTCAAATCCATAACGGAGAGATGTCACATTCATAACGGAGAGATGTCACATCCATAACGAAGAGATGTATACATATATATATATGTGTGTGTGTGTGTGTGTGTGTGTGTGTGTGTGTGCATATTATACGGTTATTAATATATAAAACACATAAAATACTGTTATGATGTTTATAATGTTTATAACAAACCCAATAGTGGGTTAATTTTGAGAACTAAATTTAATTTACATTTTTCAACCCAAATGTGTCCATATTTGGCCTAGCACTGGGTTAAAACAATCCAGGAATTTTTAGAGTAAATTGTACATGATCAGAATTTTTAAACATATTTTTAGCCCATTACTTTTTTTTTCAACTGTTATCCATAATGCATTATGGTATTGTATTTTTCCATTATTAACACCAATGAGTTTACAGCCTTATTGATTTATTATTTCTAAAAATCTAAGTTTAATGCACTTTTCCTTATACTGTAGATGGATGGAACTTCTAAAGAAAAAAAGTAGTGGATTCTGAAAAAGTGAAATCTTATCTGACTGACAAAAGGGAAGATCTTTAGGAAACCCATTTGGAAACCATGATTAATTTGTATTTCTTAGCCCCATTCTACATAATGCATACCGATTTTATGGGAGAGCAAGTGTCTGTGGAGCTCCGGCAGGGTCGGACAGCAACCAAGAGAGCTCATGACCGTCAGCAGATCTTGCACCTTCAGTTTACCCTTGCGCTTCTGGTCATACAGCGAAAAACACTCTTTATACTCTGAATAAAGCGGGAAATGTAAAGTATTACTAAACACACAAATATACAGTGTTGGCAATTTCTACAGTAGGATCTACATTAACCTACAACCAGCAGTTTGTCAGTAACTTACTGTAAATCAATTACAGCAAAATACTGTATTTATATTTACAGCACTATTTATCTTGATGTCATGTATTTATAGTGTATTATATTTACTGTAAAATACAGTAATTTTCACAGTGCAACTTTAAAATACAGTAACATACCGCATAACTATCATTTGGTAGAATTCAGATGTTAATGTGAAGGTGTGAATGTTATTTACAATTACAGCACCATCTATCTTGCTGTATATGTATTATCGGTATACGACATCCTTACTGTAAAATAAACAGTTATTTTCACAATGCAACTGTAAAATCTACAGTAAAATTCAGAGGTAAATATGATAATGTAAATGTTATGTACATTCACAGCACCATTTAAACTGCTGTACATGTGTTTACAGTATAGTGTATATTTACTGTGAAATATTCAGTCCTTTTCACAATGCAACTTTAAAATACAGCAACATACCGCATAACTTTCCTAGAGTAAAAGATATACCAAAGATGTTATTTACATTTACAGCACCATTTATCTTGCTGTATATGTATTTACAGTAAAGTATATATTTACCGTAAACCATACAGTAATTTTCACAGTGCAACTTTAAAACACAGTAACATACCGTATAACTGTCCTACAGTAAAATTCAGATGTAAAAAAATGAAATTGTATATGTTATGTACATTTACAGCACTCTTTATCTTCCTCTATATGTATTTACAGTAAACTTTATATTTACTGTAAATATATACAGTAATCACAATGCAACTTTAATAAAATATAGCAACAACATGGTTTCCACAACATCCATTCTTCCATGGCGGGGTGTCACACCAAAATTCATCCCACCATGGCTACATTACAGCTTCTTATTAATTCAAAACATTCAGTCATTGTTGTTGTTTTTAATAGCGGGTGATAATCGCACCAAAACGTATTAAAAGGTAAGTGAATTGTAACAGCGCAACCTTTTCTGTTACCGTAGTAGGGCTGTGTGCTATTTGTTTATCACTTTAAGTTGACGTGCTAACAAACTGACTGACTTACTGACAGGTGCGCGATGCATGAGGCCAGCAAACACGACGTAGCTTTCAGTTAAGATGAACGCAGTTTCCATAATTATACTTTATTTACAGATAAAGATCTGTGATTCTGCATACAAATACTTTAACGTCATCTTGCTTGAGTAGTTTATTGCCGTTTCACTTTACTTTAAGAAGCATTAATATCGCTCTGTAGGTCTATTGAAGACATTCATAAATATTCCTATCAAATCTGATAAATGTTGGAGACATACTCACTACATAAACGCGCTAAATCGCACTTCAGCAGTGTTTATTTGAGAGCGCACAAGAAGATCTGAGCTTGAGCAGCGTGTTTGAGGGCGTGCAGGACGTTTTGTGCACGAGCAGAGGAAATCGGTGCGCAAGCAGAGATTGGCATGCTCGTATTACGTAAATGCGATGCCGACTTGTACTGCGCTCAACACATTTCTCCATTTGTCATTGAAATACGCCATAGGTGGTTGGTAGATTTGTGTAAAAGACCTGCCGCCACAGCTGGAAAAAATCCTAAAGGGAAACACTAAACATACTGCATAACTGTCCTAAAGTAAAATTCAGATGTAAATGTGAAAATGTAAATGTTATTTACATGTACAACACCATTTATACTGCTGTATGTGTATTTACAATATATTATATCTTTGCTGTAGAGTAATTTTCACAAGGCAACTTTAAAATACAGCAACATACTGTAAAACTGGCCTACAGTGAAATTCAGATGTACATGTAAAAATGTAAATGTACATTTACAGCACCATTTTTCGTTAGTATGTTCTTACAGTATATTTATTACCTGTAAAATATATAGCAATTTTCACAATGAAGTTTTTTAAATACAGCAACATACTGCAAAACTTTGCTACAGTAAAATTCAGATTTAAATGTGAAACGTAATTTACAGCACCACCTATATTGCTGTATACATATTTACAGTATATTATATCTTAACTGTAAAATATACAGTAATTTTCACAATGCAACTTTAAAATGCAGCAACATACTGCATAACTGTCCTACAGTAAAATTCAGATATAAATATAAAAATGTAATTTACATTAACAGCACAATTTATCTTGCTGTATATGTATTTACAGTATAGTATATATTTAATGTAATATCACAATGCAACTTTAAAATACAGTAACATAACGCATAACTGTCCTACAGTAAAATTCAGATATAAATGTTAGAGTGTAAATGTTATGTACATTTACAGCGCCATTTATATTGCTGTATGGTATGTATTTACAGTATTGTATGTATTTACTGTAAAATATAGTAACTTTCACAACGCAACTTTAAACAGGGTTTTTGCAGGTTTCAGAGTTAGATTTAAGACTTTTAAAGACATTTTAAGACCATTATGACTGAAATTTTGGACTTAAAGCGCTAAAGCCTATGGAATTTTTCAAATGGCCCAGATGGAAAAGATTTTATTTGCCCTTTTCAAAAAACTTTATTATAATTGAATACATATAATAATACAATAATACATTAATAATTTCAAAAAAATAATATTTTAGACTTTATTTCATAGCAAAATATTTTTAATATGGTGTAAAAACAAGCAAGCTCTACTTGGATCCATACACTGTTTTTCCCTGACATAAACATTCTTTAAAATAAAAAAAATTAACAAATGTTTAACAATTTTTAAAAACTATAATAAACAAAATCTACATGGAGAACTTTTACAGAAATGTTATTTTAAGAAAAATAATTAAACCATTATTTTGGTTAAATTTAACCAAGTTAAAATGACCTTTTTAAATAAAAAGGTTTTATTGAGATGAATTGTTGATGACTGTATGGAACTTGTACAGCAATTTATGAACAAAGGAAAATTAAGACCCGTTTAAAAAAGATTTAAGACCTAAAACACAATATTTCAGTAAATTTAAGACTTTTTAAGGCCTAAAATTAGGATTAGGAGATTTAAGACATTTTAAGACTTTCTAAGACCCTGCAGAAACCCTGTTTAAAACACAGCAACAAACTGCAAAACTGTTCAGCAGTAAAATTCAGATGTAAATGTGAAAATGTTATTTATAGCAGCCTTAATCTTACTGTATATGTATTTACGGTATATATTTATTGTAATATCACAATGCAACTTTAAAATAAAACAACATACTGCAAAACTGTCCGACAGTAAAATTATGTTTATATTACAGTAAAATACTGTGTAATTTACAAAAATTGTTAAGAGTGTAGTGTTCAATCTTAAAAGTTACATTTTTGGATGACCAAAGTTAGCTCATAAGTATAATCATCAGATGTATCCAGATCAGAGATTACAGTGTTTGTTTGTCTTGCTGATAAGGATATAGTTTGGCAGGGTATCTTTATAATCCCAAATGAAGGAGTAGTTTTGGCATCAACTCAGACAACCCGTTTAGCAGAGCTTCAAGATTACGGCAGTATCAACAACAGCAGGTGGACGGCGTGACAACACACTTCCTTGCATTTCTGCAGTGTTTACAGTGCATAATGTGTCATGTTTTTGTTTGTATTCTCATATTTTGTGTCATTTGAGTCTCCTGTTCACTCGGTTCTTGCTGTGTGTTTATGCATCAGTGGATCTTCGGTGTTTGTGCTTCAGTAATCAGAAACAAATGACACTTTGTGTCTAATAATGTTGAATGGCTTCAGTGTCCCTTCATGCTTTATAATAATAACTTTAATATTCATAACCCATTATACCAGCAATGCACATTTATATAATCTCACGGTTAGCATTATTTAGCAAATGTATATTAATTTATGATGTACAGTTGAAAACAAAATAATTTGTAAGTTATTTTTCCAAATATTACCCAATTGCTGTTCAAAGGAGAAATGTTTTTAATATATTTTTAAACATAATAGTTTTAATAACTCCTTAGCCTACTAACCGATCAATAATTGTCATCATGTCAGTGTTTAACTAATATTTTGCAAGATTAAATTGAAATTCAAAGGCGTAAATAGGTTATTTTGGTTAACTATACAAAGAATATTTAAAAAACAATTAAGATTTCACAGAAGAGCTAATAATTTTACCTTCAAGTGTAATTAGCATGTGCCTGTTTTAACTGAAGCTTGTTTTTCAGCTCAGAAAAAGAGATTATATTTATAATATTAGAACATGAATCATTTATTGAAATATTAAAATCTGTTAATTTCAGCCGCAATATCAGCTTAGTTGTCGTCTGAAATATTAATTATTATCAGGGTATTGATCCTTCAAAACACTAATTCTCACCCATTTGACATCAGTGTTTTCTATTATTTAACACAGCATTTAAATTGACTACGTTCACTAATTAGTTTACATATAAATAAACACAGGCCAGAAAAGGATGTACAGTACATGAAATAACCATATCACAATACTGAATAAAGACTAAACATTAGGCTATTTCATCCATAGTTTGACTTTTTATCTCTCAGTTTGATAGTGTTATTGACAGCTAATGTGTTTAGGTTGCGTATTAATCATATTTTGGGAGTTTTGTGAACGATATAAAACCGAATTTATCGAACTAAACTGATAAATATTTACACAATATCTATAAGAGACGTTATAATGCAGAGACCTGCTTACCGTTGATTTGATCTTGACTGAGGAATTTCGCCTGTAAGAACATAAGAAGCCAATTTAATTAGTTAGTATATTGTTTTACATGAAAATAATACATAGAAAGAGATGGCAAACTGACCATGTTGGTGTTCAGTCCTTCTCTAAGTGCTGTCAGGTGTTTGTAATGAAGCGAACTTTCACTCCGGCAGATGGCGCTCGACGACAGAAAGCAAAATCTCCATCAAATCCCATTCACTGGTCTCGAGGCGGGATTAAAACATATAGTAAATGTGTAACGCAAGTAACAGAGTGGTATTCAATCATTTTAATTTTTAAATGTCTCCAGTAACAAACATTTGACAATCACTAAACAAGTAAGCGCTGAGGGAAAAGCGCCGGTCACGTGACATTTGCGTCAACTGTTGTCAGATTTGATTTTACGCTTGATTGACGCCGAGAAACGAAATAAATTAAATTCTGTCCAATCGTAGCATTATTAAAATATTTAAGCATTATACTTGACCAAGTAGCTGTAATAATAAGCTAATTCTGTGTTTTGTTAGTACACAATGATAAATACCCTACTAAGAAAAACTTAATCAACCTATGCTGGTTGGCTGGTTTTAGCTGGTCAACCAGGCTGCTTTTACCCACTTCCAGGCTGGTTTCCAGCTATTTCCAGCCTGGTCAGGGTGGAAAATGACCAGCGAAAACCAGCTTGACCAGCCTAGCCAGGCTGGGAGTCCAGCCAAAACCAATATGTCCAGCTTTAACCAGGCTGGTCAAGCTGGTTGTAGCTGGTTTTATCTGGTCATTTTCCAGCATGACCAGCTAAGACCAGGATGGAAATGGCTGGAAACCAGCTTGGATGTGGCTAAAACCCCTCTAAAACCAGGCTGGTCAAAGAGCCAAAACCAACCAACCAGCTTAGGCTGGTTTAAGCTGTTTTTTTTAAGCAGGGTAGAGTAAAAAAAAACTTTTAAAAATCCAAATATATTTCATCGCAGAACATTAAGACATGTAATATGACATTAGTGTTATTGAAGATGAATCAATATGCAGAAATCTGAGCATTCTGAGAAATAATAAGTTAATATATCCTGACCAAGTCTACTATACAGGCCGAATAAGCCTTTCCAATCCCGTCTATGTGTATTTTTTGGTAGGCTACATCTTCATTACTTGACCAAGTGACACTAATATATAGGGTATATGCCGAGCTAGTGTTTTTCCCATACTGATAAATGTCCAGTGACCTGTTATTGTGAACTTTTTTCCATTTTTTACGGTTCCTTTTACAGCATCGATGTTGTAATGTCATTAAAATACATTCAGTTAAATAAACTTTGGCATTCATTAGTTGCTCAAGCGTAAAATGAGACAAAAAGCCGTTTACTCGCACTCGCCCGTCAGAATCGGCAGGCAAGCTCCATTGAATATACTGGGGTAAAAAAAATGCTCATATTATAAAGACATGACGAGGAAAAATGTAATTTAATGCAGTGCTTCTTGTACAATCTGGGACCCACTTCACTCAGCTAGTGGTCCACTGGAGGCCGCTGATTTTTAAAGAAAACAGACCTTAAACGCGACAATTTTGCATTGGCATACAGTTCGCCAGGTTACTTTCGAATTAAAAGTCTATTAGCATGCTTCGGCATATACCCTACAGACCAATGTCATGTCCTATGAACATTTCCTGCTTGATGTCAAACTATTTCATTCAAGTAATAGGAGGCAATTCAATCATAACTTGTTAAAACAGCTATCATTATCAATACCCTGCTGGGAAAAACAGCTCCAACCTAAGATTGAAGCTAAGACCAAACTAATCAGCTAAGACCAGCTAAAAAGTGGCCAAAACCCCTCTAAAACCAGCCTGACTATGACCACCCTGAGAAATCAGCTAACACCAGACCAGCTAAATCCAGCCTGACCAGCTTAGGCTGCTTTTAGCAGGATTTGTCAGTAGGATACGGCTTGGATTCTCAGAAGCTAGAAATTAAAAATGTAAAACAAAATACATTGGGACCATTTTTGTTTAAATCCCTCAAAATGATCCATATGGCCTAATAATAAACCTTTCTAACTCTGTCCATGTGTGTTTTTAGGTTACCCAAAAAGGATTTAATGCTGAAAAAAGTAAAAGCCAAACATAAATCAGACTTTTCCTTATCGCAGAACATTAGGATATGTAATATAATGATGTGTAGATATTTATTTAATGAAACACAAATCAATTTTCAGAAATTTAAACATTGAATAAACTGAAGTTCAAAGCTCTTTATTTATTCTTGTCATAGCATATCAACAGACAGAATTTACATTTCCACAATGTTTTTAGGTGTAAAATGTAATATATAAACCAGACAAATGATACATGACCATAAGAAATGAAATATGAAGGTGAATGATGAAGGAATTAGAAAGCAACAAAACTGGAATCTTGTTTTTTTTTATGAGTAATACTGAAGAAAATCAATCTTGACTACTTCGAATAGAGTAAAAATACTTCAGGAATGAGACGTGAAATGGACTCTGAAAACAAATAAACAACTGTGAAATGATGGAAGCAGTTTATGTTTTGTGTTGTAAGTGATATTTTCAGTCTGTAAGCGTGGTGTGTTTGTCTCTGAGGTGTAATGTGTAAAGAGCCCACGGTTCTGGGATATACATCACTCCTGGATATTTCTTCCGCAACACTTTATCGTTCCACAGACAGGCGACCCAGACGCTCACTAAAAAGAGCGAAATCGAGAAACTGTAGAGCAGAAACAGTCCATTACTGTCAGGAAGAAAACCTTTACGCTTCTGATGCAGGACTGTAGCCATCATGGCGAAAAACGTGAAAATAAATGGGATGAAAATCTGTCCTTCTGTCACCAGATACCTGAGAATTAAAGAGCTGAAATTTACTTACAACTTAATTAAATCTAAAAAGCTTTATATTAATTTCACCGGGAGTTTTAGATGAACTAACCAGTAGTAAAGGCCACTGGGACCCAGTAGAATCCAAGCGGAGACGGGCATCTTCTTCTCTGCTTTGACGATAGTGAAACATCCAGTGAAATACAGGAACAGGATGAGAAACAGAGGAACGTACCTGTAAAGTTAGCCAAAGTTCAACTCAATATTTTAGTCGGTTTGATTGATGTAAGTTGAGATGACTAGAAATGTTGACTAAAATAAATTAAGGCATAAGCAAAATCTTTTACAAAGTAGAAAAAATCTCTTATGCAAGTCAATGGTTCCCTGGTTTCCAACATTCTTCAAAATATCTTCTTTTGTGTTCAACATAATAAAGAAACTTATAAAAGTGTAAAGTGACCTGAGGTTGGAAACCGGAAACTATTGACTACCATAATAGCTGTTTTCCTATTGTGAAAGTAAATAGTTACCGGTTTCCAACATTCTTCAAATATCTTTTTTTGTGTTCAACAAAATAAAGAAAGTCATAAAAGCTTCAAACTACCTGAGGTTGGAAAACGGTAGCCATTGACTACCATAATACATTTTTCCAACTTTAAAAGTAAATGGTTTTCCAACCTTCTTCAAAAGGCACTCATAAAAAGTGTAAAACGACCTAAGATTGGAAACTGGTAACCATTGACTTCCATAATAGTTTTTCCTATTGTGAAAGTGAATGGTTACCGGTTTGCAACATTCTTCAAAATATCTTCTTTTGTGTTCAACAGAATACAGAAACTCATAAAGGCTTAAAACTACCTGAGGTTGGAAAACGGTAACCATTTACTTACTACCAAAGTAGCTTTTTCTACTATGAAAGTCAATGGGTTTCCAACATTCTTCAAAATATCTTCTTTTGTGTTAAAATAAAGAAGCTCAAAAAATGTTTAAAACGACCTGAGGTTGAAAACCCGTAACAACTGACAACCATAATAGGGTTTTTTCTTATTGTGAAAGTGAATGGTTACCAGTCTTCAACATTCTTCAAAATATCTTCTTTTGTGTTACATAAAATAAAATAAAACAAAAAGAAGCTCATAAAAGGTTTAAAACGACCTGAGGTTGGAAACCGGTAACCATTGTCTACCATAATAGCTGCTTTCCTATTGTGAAAGTGAATGGTTACCGGTTTCCAGCATTCTTTAAGATATCCTATATTGTGTTCAACAGAATAAACAAAGTCATTAAGGCTTAAAACTACCTGAGGTTGGAAACCGGTAACCATTGACAATCATAAAAGTTTTATCTTATTGTGCAAGTGAATGGTCACCGGTTTCCACATCCAACATTCTTCAAAATATCTTCCTTTGTGTTCAACAGAATACAGAAACTCATAAAGGCTTAAAACTACCTGAGGTTGGAAAACGGTAACCATTGACTACCATAATAGTTTTTTCTAAGTCAATGGGTTTCCAACAGTCTTCAAAATATCTTCTTTTGTGTTCAACAAAATAAAGAAGCTCAAAAAATGTTAAAAACGACCTGAGGTTGGAAACTGTTAACCATTGTCTAATAGATCTTTTCCTATTGTGCAAGTGAATGGTCACCTGTTTCCAACATTCTTCAAAGATAGCTTATTTTGTGTTCAACAGAATAAAGAAAGTCATAAAGGCTTAAAACTACCTGAGGTTGGAAACCGGTAACCATTGACAACCATAAAAGTTTTTTTTTATATTGTGCAAGTGAATGGTTACCGGTTTCCACACCCAACATTCTTTAAAATATCTTCCTTTGTGTTCAACAGAATACAGAAACTCATAAAGGCTTAAAACTACCTGAGGTTGGAAAACGGTAACCACTGACTACCATAATAGCTGTTTTCCTATTGTGAAAGTGAATGGTTACCGGTTTCCAACATTCTTTAAGATATCCTATTTTGTGTTCAACAGAATAAAAGCCATAAAGGCTTAAAACTACCTGAGGTTGAAAACCGGTCATTGACTCTCATAATAGTTTGTAATAGTCTCCAACATTCTGCAAATTATCTTCTTTTGTGTTCAACAGGGGGGAAAAAAACTTTTTGGGTGAACACATTATTTTATCTTTAATCATTCTTGTGATACAGATTTTTCTAATAAATGATTTTCATATCCGTTTGGTTAATTAGTGTGAAATAAATCTGCAGATTGTAAAATATTTCGAGGCTTACCACATACAGAGGCCCAGACTTTCATCATAATACTGCAGTAACTCAAATGAGTCGATCTGTCAGAAAACAGGAAAAAATTTGTTTATATTCACTGGGGTAAAAACAAACAGATATTTTTTAATGTTTATGCATAAATATGTAAATTAAAATAATTTAAATATATATTTTAATATTAACTGGTGTCTGTGTGTGTGTGTTCATGTGTGTGTTTTACCTATATTTTTTATTTCTGCAGTGTATAGTGTGTGTGTGTGTGCGTGTGTGTGTGTGTGTGTGTGTGTGTTTTACCAGTGTGTGTGGTGAGATGCTCTTAATAATGGGGTTTTCTCTGAGTGTCAGGTGTGTCTGGTATCCGCTGATCAGCAGCCGCTGGTTTATGGATTCCCCGAGCAGGTGAATGCTGGAGCCCATGACGAAGGTGATGATGCACAGGTACATGGCGGAGCGCGGCAGTGTCTTCGGGCTGCGCTCCATCAGCTCAAACACACACAAACATCATTCACTTCTCATGTCCAGTGTGGTCAAGAACAACTCTCACTTAGGATTGGCAAAAATCACAACATTTAGGAAAACTAAAGTTCCACACATTGGAGCCTTTTCACATTTGCGAGTTTATCCGCAACAGAAGTCGTCGTAGTTGGTAAATTCAGAGCAGTGAATGGAAGAGTCCAACTAATCATGTTATTACAGACGTATCTTTAAGAGATTTAGAAAAGGGTTAAGACTTTAGGAAAAGGTTAAAATAGTGTGAGACTGAGAACGGCATCAGCTGTGTAAAACATATGCTGGAATAGTCGGTGGTTCATTCCGCTGTGGCAACCCCTGATGAATAAAGGGACTTACCTGAAGGAAAATTAATAGATAAATGAATTTTCAAGGATTCAAGATGCTGATGACCATCAAGAGGGCGAGATAACAGCCTTGTAAAAAGGACCATCCCTTAGTGTCGTTCCAGTTCAAATCGATGAAGTTAACTTAAGGGTTTCTGCAAGTTGGTTGAACATAAAACTATCATGCTGTCCCCCCCAAAAACCTCAAGAATTGTGTTGTTTGAGCTTATTTTGAACAAGTTTTACATGCATTTTTGAGTGCACTACATAATATAGTTCTATAAATCAACAATACTGTAAAATACTGACACTTTAAAACTATACACACACACACACACACACACACACACACATACAGTTCAACACATTTCTAATCATGATAGTTTTAATAACTCATTTCTAATAACTGATTTGTTTTCTCTTTGTCATGATGACAGTAAATAATATTAGACTAAATATTTTTAAGACTCTTCTATACAGCTTGAAGTGACATTTAAAGGCTTCACTAGGTTAAAACATAGCTTAAAGGAGCTAATATTGTGTCACGATCACCATCGATTCACTCCTGATAGATTGCTGGTGAACTACAAATGTCATGTTTAGGAACTACAAATCCTATCAGGCCATGTAACACACAAAAGTTGCTCATCACAGCTGATGAAACTGATGATCATTCAGACTATTTATACACCACACGTACACTAGTTTAGCATGGAGTATTTGATGTTGATGTACATTGGTGTTTTGTTGATTTCCCTGGTTTTTGACCTTGGCTTTGTTTATTGTTTGATCCTGTTTGCCATCTATTTTGACTTTATGCCAGTTTTTGACCACATTTTTGGATTGCCCTTAATGTACCAGCCGCTTCTGTTTGTCTCGGTCTTTTGGGTTTTTTTTTATACGGAAAACGTTAAAGGTGCAGTATGTAAGTTTTTTTACTCTAAGGCATGAAAAATACCATAACCATAATACTATTGGGTGAGCAGGTTACATTGCAACCCCGTGTGCCAATAACATGCTATACGTGATGGGATTTGCAGTGATCAGCAGTTTGACTGTTTACACCAGACTAAACACGAAAGAAATGTAAACACAGCCATTCAGAAGCACAGAATAGTGCACTCACTGCTCTCCAGCCATAAGGTTTATAATCTAATGAATACATATTTAACCTCTTTAACATGATTAAATGGAGATGCTGAATCACTGATGTGTGTTGGCTTGCACTGAGTCTGAAGTTCATTTTCAAACAGTTTATTTTATTTTCCAGATCTGAGGTGCACCATCTGCTGCTGCTTTCAGTAGTATGACAATAAATGTCATGTAAAATGGCATTCAGACTCACATTATTAGCGTTTAACACTGTGTAAAGCACATGAGCTGTACCTGAGCTGATCATTATCAGTGTTATTCATCTGTGAGAAATAGAAGCCGTTTCTAAAATATAAATTTCAGGTGTTGTTTAGTACAAAAACTCCTTTTAATAAGGAAAATATTCCTTTTGTCGCATGCTGCTGCTTTTAGTTTAAACACTGCTTAAACCAGCTTTTAGGCTTGACAATTAGGCGCGCTCTTGTTGATATCTGGCAACCTGCGCTTGTGTTTTGAACCAGGAGTGCATTACCTAGTTCAACCACTGGGTGTCAAACTTACATTCTGCACCTTTAATTTATTTGTTTTATGCAACGGCAAATATCATCACTTTAACACTGATCTGAGTACACTGCAAAAAAGTTAGTCTCGTGTTTAGTCCAAATATCTAAACATTTAAACTAACAAATATTGTCTTGTTTTCAGAAACCACAAGTCAAAATGAAGTGAATTTTCTCTTAAACTAAGCAAAATAATTTGCCAAAAGGGTAAAATAATAGTAAATTAAAGTAAAATAATCATTTTTTTTCTTGGCATAAGATTATTTTGCTTGTTTTAAGGAAAAACTCACTTCATTTTGACTCATCATATCCTAAAATAAGACACTGTTATTTGCTTGTAAAGAAAACGCTGCTTGGTTTAAGATTTTTTAGATAATTGGACTAGAAACGGGACAAAATCTCTAAGTAAGAAAAGCATTTGTTGCTGTGTACCGATTCCCTGAGTCTTATCAATCATACCAAATGCGTTTATTTTTCTGACAGAGGAATCGCTCAAGAAGACGAAACACATGCTACACTTTAGCAGGTATTTGTGCGGAAGTAAAGGTCAAAGAGGCTTCAGTTCAGTGACAAACATCAGCTCAGGTTATAAATATCACCTGTTTTCCTGCTCTTTTTGCTCCGGGAGTTTAATAAAACACTGGAGTTTTACCCAGGAAACGTGACAGTGACAAAGTGTCCAAACCCAGCGGCAGAAATCATTGTGTTGTGGTTTGTGAACGGATGTGGTTTAGCATTTTAAACGGATGCCAGGTAAATAAATCCCTCAATAAACTCACCTTGAGCAGCAGGAAAGGTGTTGTGATGTTGTACAACATGTGGCAATAATCCGCAGCGCTGGGTTTGTTCAGAGGAAACCAATCCAGTGGACAGAAGATCTGGAGAAACCCCCAAAACATTAAACATCCCAATAATTAAAATCATTTCGCTATAAATGTGTGCAGTTTCAAATATGAATTATTTTATATTAAACTATATACTGTTGAAATCAATATGATTAGTCCTCCTGTGATTTTTGTGTTTTCTTTTTTTTAAGGATTTACCAAATAACGTTGAACCAATTTTTTCACAGTTTTTCCTATAATATTTTTTTCTGCTGGAGAAAGTCTTATTTGTTTTATTTTGTCTAGAATAAAAGCAGTTTTTAATTTTTAACATCCTTTTAAGCTCAGTATTATTAGCCCCCTTATGCAATATTAGTGTTGGATTGTCTCCAGAACAAACACTGTTATCCAATGACTTGCCTAATTACCCTAACTTTACCCTAATTACCCTGGTGAAGCTTTTAAATGTCACTTTAAGCTGCATACTAGTGTCTTGAAAAAGCAATGTGTAGAAAAAAAAAAATATATATATATATATATGAGCAATATCACACGAGTGATATGGCTGTATATCAGCACTGGTGGAAGGCATCCGTTGACTACAAGTGTGATATTGCGTTTATACAACAGTTCGACGGCACAATCTTGTACATAAAAAAAGGAAAATCAAACACAGAGAGTCTAAAACCCTTTTGTATTAGGAACTAGTTTCTTCCGCCATTCATTCACATCTGCAGCTGACGTCAGAACAGCAGAAGCCGTTACTAATTCCCCAACGGCAATTTAGAGCTAGTGTTTGAATGATTCTCTATAGCATAATGTGAAGCTGCACTTCCGGTGTGTGACCCCCTTAAGGTGGTGACAAAACAGCAAATTTTGCTCGCATTTTTAGATTATAAGGCTGAGCGTGACATGAAATGCCATAAAAACCACGAGGCTTCCGTTTTTCAGCTTTTTAATTTACGCTCAAGAGAACACACTGAGCAAGGGCTTGTTATGCGGTTCATATATATATGTATGTATGTATGTATGTATGTATTTGTGTGTGTGTTTATACAACAGTTCTGTTTGGTTCTCGAATCTGATTGGCTGATAGCCGTGATATATTTAAGTAATATCAGCACCCGTACAGCCTATTTACCCTTTGTGTATTACTCCGCCCACATACAGCCAGCAAAAAGCAGACACTACAAAGTTTAAAAGATGCTTGCTCAGCTGTTTATCTGTCAGCTTATGATTTGAATCCAACGTTGAAGAAAGTAGTTCCTCATACAAAAGGGTTTTTGAGACTCTCCATGTTTGATTTTGTTTTTATAAACACAATAATGCCGTCAAACTGTTGTATAAACGCAATATCACACTCGTAGCAGTGCGATATGGCTGTATATCAGCACTGGTGGGGGCACTAAACCAACGTCTCCCACCAGTGCCGATATACAGCCATATCGCACTGCTACGAGTGTGATATTGCTCATATATATATATATATATATCTTGTGATGTTCTGTTGTCTAATCACCGTTATTACAGGTCTGCCGATGTCTAGCAGCCAGTTCTGTAGAGTAAAGCAGCACCAGAAACAGCTGTGAAACTGATCTGGGGTCAGACAGGACTCTCTCAACTCCCTCAATCCACATCTGAAACACACAATGACAAATATGAAAAGATAATGAGAAATATGATGAAGCATGTCAGGCCTGATGTGTGTCTCCAGAGCATCTGCCAGGGATTTTCACTTATTTATGTCCATCTGCTTCACTCTGAGTGCATCATTTTTATGATTGTCTGAATTTCTGGAGCTGGAGCACAAATTAAAGCGGACTTATTATGCAGAAATCCCTTTTTAGGGTGTTTGTGTGTCAGGAGTGTGTGTATATATCCAGCATCTAATGATCAACATGAATTAATCCTATTGTTTATAATCAGACTTGATGAATGAAACACTTTGATTGACATTCTCCCTTTATACGTGTCATCAGAGGGGGAAAGCCCCGCCCACTAGTGCCCATCTCACCCTCATTAGCATAAACAGCAGCCCTAAGTGAGAAGCAGCCGTCTGTCCTTTAGCCATTAGATTGTTTGAGCTGCTGAAGATAATGTCAGCATTATGTTATGACAGGAGTCTCCATAGACTGACAGAAGCATGAAGCACACACTCACACTACACGCAACATGTTACTTTTTGGGGGAATAACTAAATAATGCAATGCATTACATTCAGAAGCAACTTTCCCCAACTCTGTTTTTTAAGAAAAATAAATGAACTGAGAGTATGTAAAAGTGTCAGACCTGCTCAAAAATGTGGTGCTCAGGCCACAGTTTTGCCTTTTGCGGATGACAGTCGGCATCTCGGCGGCCTCAGATGGTCGTTTTCCACATCAGTGAGTAAAACACAAGGATAAAAACATCCTGAATCCTGATGTTTGGGTCTGAAACACAGTACAAAACGCTACTCTCTTCGGGTTCACTGAGATGGAGAGATTTAGGAAATGAGCAAATGAATAAATCAAGCCTGTCTGGTCCGAGTAAATCCTGAAAGATTGGGTTTTGTTGGCGTTTATATAAGCAAGATTAACCTTTAATCCAAAAATACCCCCCACCCCACCTCCCTTTGAGGAACACACGACATGTCTGACAGATTTAATATTCCTGATGAATTTACTGAACACATCAGTCCATACAAATCTATAAGATAGATAGATAGATAGATAGATAGATAGATAGATAGATAGATGATAGATAGATAGATAGATAGATAGATAGATAGATAGATAGATAGATAGATAGATAGATAGATAGATAGATAGATAGATAGATAGATAGATAGATAGATAGATAGATAGATAGATAGATAGATAGATAGATGGGTGGATAGATAGATAGATAGATAGATAGATAGATAGATAGATAGATAGATAGATAGATAGATAGATAGATAGATAGATAGATAGATAGATAGATAGATAGATAGATAGATAGATGGGTGGATAGATAGATAGATAGATAGATAGATAGATAGATAGATAGATAGATAGATAGGTAGATAGATAGATAGATAGATAGATAGATAGATAGATAGATAGATAGATAGATAGATAGATAGATAGATAGATAGATAGATAGATAGATAGATAGATAGATAGATAGATGGGTGGATAGATAGATAGATAGATAGATAGATAGATAGATAGATAGATAGATAGATAGATAGATAGATAGATAGATAGATAGATAGATAGATAGATAGATAGATAGACGAAGAGGCAGAAACAGTTTCTATTATACTAATGTTTATTCATTTGTATTAATAAATTCTTTGTTATTAAAATATTTTAAAGTTTTATTCAAATAAATTAATAAATTAGCTACTAATTGTTACATTTCCATATACAGGTGTATTTAAGTGTTAACAATATATTTTTACACCTATTTGTTTACACTTGGACGGGTACCTCAGCACACTCTTGCGGCTCCCTGGACATCCACGGAACCCACTATAAAAACACTGATTATTATCATTATCTAACGTTATTTGTAATCACTATTAAACAAATCACCCCTTCTACTTTTATCGTGCTTACTTTTATTTCGAAATCAGCAGGATGTCGAATGTCGCACTTCCTGTTTTTAATGACTTCATTTCCAGGCGTCGATACTGGCAGAGGTGAAAGACACAAACACAGAGAGAGCTTCGGTCTGAGCTGAAATTCGCGTTTACTTCACCGAAAATCTGCTTTTTCTCAGTCAACACGATCGTCGGACACCACCGCGGAGGGATTCAGATTTAAAAACCCGAAACACAAAGTAAACAAAGCTCATCTTTAACGTCACTCACAAGAAGTGAAACAGAATTCCGACTGAAACTCGCTTAATTCCGTCAGCATCTGCATATTTATTAAACCTCACTACACACCGCGTAGCATTATTAATCAGGAATGTTTATATTTTAAGATAATTATTTATAATATATGGTATAATAGCAGCCGTTTGTATTAAAAGTTACACGATCGAGACTATAACAAAAGCTCCATCTTAGTACCGTCAGATCTTAATAATACTTGTTTTTAATTGATTGTAATGGCCGTGGGTCGTTCAGAAACTCTACACAAGCCTCGTCTATGAGCGGTGGAGCTCCGGCAGGTGTTTTTAATGGGAGGCCGGTTGATCTGCTCTGAGATCAGTGGGCGAATCTTGCACCGATGGCGGAGGTACCGGTACCGGCTCTGGCCCGGTTGGAGTCCCTGGCCCGGTATGTGCACAAAGCGGCCGGTGAAGGCAGAGTCCTGACCCTGGCCGCCCTGCTCCTGAACCACTCCACCGTGCAGACTCGGTATCTTCTGGAGTTCGTGACCCAGCTGGCTGGACAGAGATCCACACCGCTTATCATCGCCGCCCGGAACGGACACGACAAGGTGGTGCGGCTGCTGCTGGATCACTATAAGGTGGACACGGAACAAACCGGGACTGTCAGATTTGACGGGTGAGCACTAAAGTGTGTGTCTGTTAAGTGTGTTACAGTAACTTACTGCACATTACGTTATAAGTTAGCCTATAAAAGTGTATATTGTTGATTGAATATTACTGTTAGGCTCCTTGTGTGTTAGATTAAATTGTTATATTAATTTAGTAAGCTTACCTGTAACGTTTTATTATCCCATAGCTTCATTTACAAAAGTTAAAACTAAATAAAAGTGTACAACATATTTGTGTTACAGTTTGACTTCTGAGGTGTTTTGTGTTTGTTTTGTTTATTAACGGTCAAAGATGCAAAAAAAGAGCGGGAGTTCGCGGAGTGAGGGCGGTTGCCAGGTCCAAGGAAAATTTTCAGTCTCACGACAATTAAAATCTCAGCCAAATGTTTATTTTCTATAATATTTTGAAATACACATATTTGTAGATACAAGGTCAATGTGTAAATTACTGAGTAAGGTTGTCACGATACTTGAATTCGATAACAATTGGTAGGGCCAGACAGAATCTGCGGACATTTTTTGCTACTTCTGTGGAAAATTTAGTAAAAAATCAGTTATTTTGGGATTATCTTAACTAAAAACTTAGTACATGAAATGAAAAAAAATACATTTAACTTTTATTTAATGTTTAAAATGCAAATCAAATTAGATCCACTAGATAAAGCTATCATATAATATATCTACTAAAAGACAGAAAATTACTTAAACTGTATTGTAAAAAAAATCAAATGAACACTTTCATATATGTTGATATTATTACCGAAATTAATTTAAAAACAGAATAAATATAAATTAACACACATTTACACAAATAAATAAATAGACTCAATGATGGGATAAAGTTTGTGTCTTGTGTGTTACAATACTACAAATTACATTATAAGTTAGCCTATAAGAGTGTCTATTTGTTGATTGAATGTTACGGTTTCTCATATGTTAGATTAAATTATTATATTAATTTAGGAAGCTTACCTGTAACGTTTTCTTATCCCAAAGCTTCATTTACAAAAAAAAATTAGAAACTAAATAAAAATGTACAATATAATTGTGTTACAATTTGACTTCTGATGTGTTTTGTGTTCTTTTTTTTTGTTTTATTTAACGGTCGGAGAGGAGCGCGAGTTCGCCGAGTAAGGGGGTTGCCAGGTCCAAGGAAAATTCTCAGCCTTATGAAAACTCAAATCTCAGCCAAATGAAATTAAAAGTATCCCATATTTAAATTATAAATCGTCTACTTTTTGCTATATTATGTAGTTTCGTAATACTACATTAATCATGATGCTGTACAAAAAATTCTACCAATCAGAAAGTCACAGCTAGCAAAGCGGACTAAAGAAAAAGAAAGGGAAAAATACTTAAGAAGACAACTCTGCTGAGAAGTTGGGCAGCAATAATGCCCTTTATGGGCAATGGAGACCAACAGACTGCCAAATGCTACAAATATCCAGTCAAAATAATGGAAGAGTTTTGTAGTAGTTTTAATTAGTTGTCCATTTAAATTTGAAAAAATTACAGTAGATGACATCTTAACATTATTCATTAATTATTTATAAAGTTGATTATTTTAAAGTGTGTGTGACCGATATAAAATTAAATAGATAGAAATCTTGTTTTTGTATTAATATTCTTGACGCTGTTACTGATTTATTTTTCACCTCTGCAGGTATATTATCGATGGTGCCACGGCTCTTTGGTGTGCAGCTGGCGCTGGTCATTTCGAGGTGGTGCGTTTGCTGGTTTCCCACAATGCCAATGTGAACCACACCACCCTCACCAACTCCACTCCGCTCAGAGCCGCGTGCTTCGACGGCCGGCTGGACATCGTGCGCTACCTAGTGGAGCACAAGGCCGACATCAGCATCGCCAACAAATACGGAAACACTTGCTTGATGATCGCCGCCTACAAAGGGCACACTGACGTTGTTTACTTCCTTCTGGAGCGAAGAGCTGATCCCAACTCCACAGCTCACTGCGGAGCCACCGCGCTACATTTCGCCGCCGAAGCCGGACATTTGGAGATTGTGAAGGAGTTAGTACGATGCCAAGCGGCGATGGTGGTGAATGGACATGGCATGACGCCATTAAAAGTGGCCGCCGAGAGTTGCAAGGCTGACGTTGTAGAGCTGCTGTTATCCCATCCAGACTGTGACGTACAAAGTCGCATTGAAGCATTGGAACTACTTGGAGCGTCTTTCGCTAATGATCGAGAAAATTACGACATTCTTAAAACTTACCACTACTTGTATTTAGCAATGCTGGAACGGTTTCGGGATCCCGACAGAGCTATCTCTAAAGAGCTGCCGTCTCCTGTTGAAGCGTACGGTGGACGATCTGAATGTCGGAATTTACAACAACTGGAGGCCATTCGACACGATCGGGACGCACTTCACATGGAAGGACTTATGATTCGCGAACGAATTCTGGGTGCGGATAATATTGATGTGTCACATCCCATAATATACAGAGGCGCAGTTTATGCTGACAACATGGAGTTTGAGCAGTGCATCAAACTTTGGCTGCACGCCTTGCAACTACGCCAACAAGGAAACCGCAACACGCATAAGGATCTCTTACGATTTGCGCAAGTGTTCTCGCAGATGGTTCACTTAAAAGAGCCGGTCATTGCGTCAGACGTTGAACATGTTTTACGCGCCAGCGTACTAGAAATCCGACGTAGCATGGCGCGTCTACAAACCACCACAGAAGTGGAATTACCGGCAGCCACCGATAATTACGAATCCAACGTGTTCACATTTCTCTATTTAGTTTGCATTTCTACGAAAACGCAATGTGGCGAAGAGCAGCGAGAGCGCATAAACAAGCACATCTACGATTTAATACGCCTAGATCCTCGCTCCAGAGAGGGATCATCACTTTTGCACCTAGCGGCTAGCTCTAGTACACCTGTCGACGACTTCCATACTAACGATGTTTGCAGTTTTCCCAATGCGCAAGTGACTAAGCTGCTCATAGACTGCGGCGCTCAAGTGAACGCAGTCGACCATGAAGGAAACAGTCCACTACACCTCATAGTACAGTACAACCGCCCCATCAGCGACTTTTTAACCCTCCACGCCATCATTATTAGCCTCGTGGAGGCTGGCGCCCACACCGACATGACCAACAAGCAGAAGAAGACGCCGCTGGATAAGAGCACAACAGGCGTTTCTGAAATCCTCCTGAAAACGCAGATGAAGATGAGTCTGAAGTGCTTGGCGGCGCGCGCCGTGCAGCAACATCAAATCCTGTATCGAGACCAGATTCCCAAAAGCCTGGAGGAGTTCGTTGAATTTCATTGAACCGTGTTTTCCGCTCAGATCTGGCTTTTGGGGTTTGTTTTAACTTGGTGCTGAGGACTTTCATTTTGACCTTGTTTACGTAAATAATGTTCCGACTGCTGCATTTTTAGCGACTAGAGTTTCTAGTTTCATCCTCATAGTTTTTTTTCGTTTTTAACAAATCTAAGAGGACGTCGATGCTGATGGACTCTTATTTCTTGTTTTGGCGAACAGCATTTTATTGTTTAGTTCTGACGATTTGAGCAGCGTTTTTATTTTTAAACAAGCTGCTCTTTTGTCAGTTTCTTCGTTTCTTAACATATTTTATAAAAGGTTTATTTAAAACAGAGTTTATTTTATGAGGAATCAGTGGGCGAGTGTTGATGTCCTAAAGCTGAACTCCGTGCCAGATTTCTTTTATTTGAATATTAAAATGTGCCTGTACCCAGAGGTTGGACGTTTATAATTATTATTATTGGTGTTTTTATTAACATGACGCCACTGTAAAGCCAATTAGAGAGTCTGTGATTCAGACTCGATCATGTGCTGGAGCTCTATTGGAGTCACGGGGCCTTACTGTTCTGGATGGTGCTGTTGTGTGTGTGTGTGTGTGTGTGAGTGAGAGAGCAGCATGTCTTCCTGCTTTTGGCTCCGTTTGTGTGTGTGTGTTTGAGTGCATGTCTGAGTACAATTGGCCAAATTTGAATGTGGAGTTTTTTAAACGATGTATATTTGCACCATTATTAATTCCTAAATTACTGGAGGTTACTGTGTGTGTTTTTATTTCTGAACCAAATCAAACAAGATTAAAAACATTGATCCGTGATTCTGTGTGCTTCTGTTTCTGTAGACGTTGAATTAAAATGTGTAATAATGTTTATTAACACTGCAATAGGCTGGCTCAGAGGTTAGCACTGTCGCCTTACAGCAAGAAGGTTGCTGGTTTGAGTCTCGGCTGGGTCAGTTGGCGCTTCTGTGTGGAGTTTGCAGGGTGCTCCGGTTTCCCCCACAGTCCAAACACATGCGCTATAGGGGAGTTGAATAAGCTAAATTGGCCATTGTGTATGAGTGTGAATGTGAGAGTTTATGGGTGTTTCCCAGTACTGGGTTGCAGCTTGAAGGGCAATACTTATGCTGGATTAGTTCATTCCACTGTGGCGACCCCTCATAAATAAAAGGACTAAGCTGAAAAGAAAATGAATGAGGGCATTTTTAAGCTGCTGATTGGTTGAGGACGTTGCTATGCTATTGCTGGGGCAGCTTTTGCTGCTTTCTCATTGGTTATTTGCTCATTCACTTGTTTTTGTAATTAAAATGTGTAATATTTACATAAGTAAACAAATAATGTCCATAAAACATTCTGTCCTGGATTAAAAACAACAAAGACTTCATCTTTTAAGGTGATTTTAATTTATTCAGTGGTTCAAACACACATTGAGCATTTGTTTGTCATCTTTACATGCGATAAACTGCAGATATAAATAATGACCATTTGAGCGAGTGACTGCAAAATTCACGTCATCCTGTTTGTATTGCGAAAGCTTGTAAAGCCATGTCATAAAATACAGTTCTGTCAGAGTGACGGCGTTAAAAACAGCATCTCGACATACAATTATTGCTGGAATATGTGTATATTGTGCAAAGTGTGCGATTTTATTTATTTATTTTTATTTTGTTGCATGACAAACCCACTGTTATTTCTCCAAATGTGCAAATTCCGTTTAACGACTCACAGTTTGACCAAATATCTTGACCATCTGCAATATAATGATAACATTAAGCAGTAAACTAGGGTTTCATTCTGATCGCAGCCACTTTTTTTAAAGACACTGATATAAAAAATTGGTTTAAGGGTAGTTGAGATGTCAAGAATAATTTCGTGAATTTTTGCCTATTGCTAATTATCTTATTGTGACGATATAAATGGAGATTAGACGGAATATTGTACTTTTATATTAATTTTTATTTCTTAATGATGTGAACTGCATAAAAAAAACAAACATCTAAAACCTAAAAAAAAAAAAAGCAAATTACAATGAAACGTGATTTTTTTTTTCGGACAAAATATGTTTTTTTGCAAACAAATGTGTTTTCAGGAAGTTAAGATTTATTAAAAGCAATTTTAATAAAGTTTAATGAAAAGTTTAATAAAAATTACCAAAATAATACACACACACACACACACACAAAAACTAATATTGCTACTATACTAGTATTACTATTATAACTTTACTATTATTCGCTATCCTGGGCTGCGTTTCCAAAACAACGACATAACTTGCAGCTGAACTATCATAGTACGTCCGATGCATCGTTTGGGAAAAGAACAATGTAGTGACGAGTCTTCCCCAAAAACAGTTTCTTTGTCGCAGATCGATACTTCTTTAGAGAAAACCAAATAAATTTTGTGCAAACTATATTGTTTTCCTTGCGCACACATAAAAAATAAAATCTATATTAGTTTTGTTAAAAAGAATGTTTCCTTTACAAATAATATTGCGAATATTCTCAATAATAGCTTTCATCATGAGCCACGGCTGCGACCAGAATGGCATAAATGTTTTCAAAGTGCACTACAAAGGGAACACGACTGTCCATATAAAGATCACTGAAACTGGACTGTATAAATACCTTGAAAGCAAATTACACCTAAGAGAGATGAGCTTAATGCTTTAATTTGAGATAATTCCTAGTTTGAATGTTGGACCGTTTGAAAGGAATAGGGCGTACGGGGATAACTGGGAATAGAACACAAACAGGAACTATGCTTAACTACAGCTCTAGAGGTGTAGTTGCAAGCGAACAAGTTTGCGAATGTTTGTTGGAACGATGGATTTGGGACATGCCAAATCAACGAACTATGTTTGAAATGATGAAACTCGCGACCTTAGTTGGCTAACATTTTCAGAAACGCACCCCTGAATGGACACCAATAGATGGCGGTTTTAATGGTTGATATAAGGTTTTGGTTTGGTCAGGTTTTGTATTTAACTGAAATGATAGCAATATGTATATATATATTGTTTTTAATTACACTTCATTAAATGACTCAAACCTGTTTTTAAAAGTTAGCATTCTTTGACTAACTTTAAAAAAAATGTAATTTACAATATTATTACTTCAACTAGACGGCACGGTAGTGTGTGGCGCTGTTGTTGCCTCACAGCAAGAAGGTTGCTGGTTTAAGTCCCGGCTGGGTCAGTTGACGTTTCTGTGTGGAGTTTGCATGTTCTCCCCGTGTTGGCGGGGGTTTTCTCCGGGTACTCCGGTTTCCCCCACAGTCCAAACACATGCGCTATAGGGGAATTGATTAAACTAAATTGGCCGTAGTGTGTATGTAAATTAATGTGTATGTGTGTTTCCTAGTGATGGGTTGCAGCTGGAAGAGCATCCGCTGTGTAAAACATATGCTGGAATAGTTGACGGTTCATTCCATGAGTAATAAAGGGACTAAGCCGAAAAGAAAATGAATGAATGACTTCAACTACCCTTAAACCTTTAAATAAATTCCTAACAAAATTAATAAAACACAGAAACAGACATAGAATAAAATCTTCTGCAACAAAACTCGTTCTGTAATATAAACTTATGACCAGATACAATAAAAAAGCACATTTTATATACACAAAACAGTCATGAGCAATAAAATGCATTAAGGTGCACGATATTAATCATTTTACGGTTAAATATTTCACCATTGTTTGACATTATATTGCTGAACTTTTCTTTTTTTTTTGGTATTTACAAATTTCAAGTTCAAAATTCTTTACAATGTGCAAGTGCATCAGCTCGAGTTCATGCTGAGGGTCTACAATCTGAGGTTTGTTTCATGATACACATTTATTATTTATTATTTTTAATATTGGTAACTATTAATCAGCACCAAAACCTCACTATGGTTCAAAACTGAAGCCTATTCATCTGTATTTTTCGTTTACTAGTTAACATTATCAATCTTTTTGCTTATATTCAAATTCTGCTTTATTTCCTCGCTTTTAATTGGCCACGCATCAAGCGAGCTGATTGGTTGTGCATCAGACTTGTGGGAGAGCTGCAGAGCAGCTGGTTGGCTGACACACTCCCGCATCTGGAGAGTCCCTGAGTGATTGGCTGAGGCGGTTGCCATGTTGTTACCGATCCTCTGCTGTTTTCTCATTGGCTTCCTGCTCGTCTCTCTTTCTCTTTTGCCTGTGGAAGAAGCCGAGCTGTGGATGAGGGAAAACGGTGAGTTTTTTGACCGTAAAATGTATATTTGTTTGTAAAATTGTTAAACATCATAGGGCTGGACGATATTGCAAAAATCCCATCATTCGATATCAATAATTATTGAATATTTTTAACAATCCATTTAGGAAAACTAGGATGTGTTATTTAACCACCTTATTTAAATTAACCAACATTACTAAGGTAAATAGTTTTAATATGAACTTTGCTAGTGTAACCCCGCTGGTCTTTCTCCGATGTTCTGCATATTTTAGTTCCAATCCCAATTAGACACACCTGAACCAGCTAATCAAGCTCTTACTAGGTAAACAAGAAACTTTCAGGGAGTTGTGTTGGAGGATGTTGGAGCTAAACTATGCAGGACACCGGCCCTCCAGGACTGAGTTTGGACACCCCTGGTATAGACCTTTAAACTGCTGTACACTTGTAAAAACAGTAACTTTAGGTGATAAAGGAGAAACTGATGCTAGACTACCCTTCAAAAAAAAAATTAGAAAATAAGACGTTGGTTGTTAGCTCAAACTACTTATTCAAAATTATTTGAAACAGCATTTTTTTCAGGGGCAACTTAATTGTTTTATGTTCAATCCACTTTAATTTGTAAAAGCTACTAAGTTAACGTAATTCCTCCACATTGCCCCAACATAAATAAATTGTGTGGAAGCCAGCACTTTTACAGTGGAGTTGATATGAAGCTGAATCTATGCTAGTTGTAGTATAAACAGGGGGAAATAAGTATTAAACATTTCTGCATTTTTCACAAAAAACATATTTCTTAGGGTGCTATTAACATGAAATTTTCCCCGGATATCAATAACTACCAAAGAGATCCATATATGCAAAGAAAACAAATCTAATTAGTTTACAAATGAAGTTCTGTGTGATAAAAGGAAATGACGCAGAGAAAAAGTACTGAACACATGAAGAAAGGGAGGTGTACTCCAGCAGTGAAAGCCCAGACAGCAGCTGAAATCTCTCAGTAGTTCTTCAGAAACCCTCTGCCCTTCCTCAGTGTAAATGAATATCAGCTGCTTCACTCCAACATCTTCAACAGCAGGAGTAAGTGTGTAGGTTTGCTCTTGATATTTGTGGGGATGGCCTGGACGAGTGAATCCCCCTCCCCTCCGGCCATTTACGATTAGCTGTTTATTCTGCAGTTAGTCTTCTGGGCATAATATTCACAGACTATATCAGTTTGCTATAATGTTAGACTGAGTTAAAGTGGGGGAAAACACTAGCAATAGCCGCATTGTCAGACATCCCAAGTCTCCCGGAAATGCATAGAGTCTCCCAGATGCCAGCAAACGAATGATAATCTCCCGGAAATCGCGCGTCTCCCGCCCGTTCTTAAATATGTGCACACCACTCTCCATGGCATCCCTCCCAGCTCTTCAGGTACGTCGGGCGCAACTCAAACCCTCTGCTCTTCAGGTACGTCGTGCGCTACTCACTCCCCACCGCTCTTTAGGTAGATCGCACGTACACGCCCCCACTGCTCTTCAGATACGTTGCGCACCATCAGCAACCCCTCTCCCCACCCCGCCCCATCCCCCAAATTAGTAGTTGGTGGATATGGGGACGCGTCTCCTTCGTCCATGCTAAATCTACGCCCCTGAGCAGGAGGATGAAGATGTAACCAGGGTGGACATTTCAGCAAGACAATGATTCAAAACACAGCCGAGGAGACTCTCAGATGCTTACAGAGAAAGAAAACTGAGCTGTAGAATGGCCCAGCCAATCACCTGATCCGAATCCAATAGAGAATACAGAATAAAGCTCAGATTTGATAGACGAGACCCACAGAACCATCAAGATTTATACACTCTGTTGAAGTCTGAGCAATGCATGAGGCTTCATTCTCCATATGAGAGGCGTCTTTAAGCTGCAATCAACAAAAAAAGCCTTTTATATAACTTATTAAACACGTTTCAGTAGTTCAGCACTTTCTCCTTCTGTCATTTCATTCTTCTAACACACAACTAATGTTTCAGATTTGTTTTTTTTATGTTTGTATTGTTTGGGTTTTTACCAAAATCTGCTTCCACTCCATGTCAGCAGCTCCTTTAGAAACGTTAGTCCCAGAAGAAAACATGACACTGTGTTCAATACTTATTTTCCCCGCTGTAAGTTGCTATAAGTGTGGTAATCAGTGAATAAAGACCTTCCAGAGGGCCAGCACCAGCAGGGCCAGAAGCTGCAGTCCTCCAAGAGTGCTGCCGATGATCACCCAGACGGGGATCCGGTAATCTTCCTCCTTTCTAATCTCCAGGATAATCTGCAGAATCACACAGCGCTCAAGTCAAACCCATGGAGGATTCAGCAGCTTTCACACAGTTAAGGGTTCGTTCACACAGAATGTGTTTTTCTCCCCCAATGCACTACATTTCTATTGTTTTTTAATGTAAATGCGCTTGACCGATGGTGTTTTGACGGTCAAGTCTTTTACATGTGAGCGTTGTTTTTTGGACACCCACTGTACTTATGCACTTACACACTGAACAGCATGGTATATAAATGTAGTGTCATCCCAACTGGAACACTAACGTTAACAATCGTAGGAGAATTTTGCTTTCACAACCCAGAGATAAATAAAGTAATTCAACATCAGTGCCTGATAGCTCCACCCTTTCATTGATAGCCCTCCCCCCTTAAGCAATAGCCCCACCCCTTCTGCTACATGAGCAAAGCTGCGGCCGTTGAGCGTGTCCAACATCTCACACTTATTTTTAATGATTGAATGAGCGCATCATCAAGGTATTTAATGTGCACTTGTTCCTTTTAGAATAAAATAAATAGTTCAGTGTGAATGTGTATCCCTACCAGTCCTACACCACCCAACCTGCTCCGAGCTGGGATCGAACAGACGACCTTCCGCATGGGAGTTGGTTGCTCTAACATGGAGGCTAAAGACCATAGTCTCTAGTGTCTGTCACTAGAGCACCTTTAGACACCAGAGGAGTGAGGTTTACCTGAACAGCACTTACTAGCTGGCCTCCATTACACTCAACCCTAAACCTCACTCCTAACCGGGTCACGGCACCAATGTATCCCCTGCCGGTCTTACACCACCCAACCCGCTCCGAGCTAGTATCGAACCGGCGACCTTCCGCATGCGAGTGCCTCCTTGGTAGAGCAACCGACTCCCATGCGGAAGGTTGCCGGTTCGATACCAGCTCGGAGTGGGTTGGGTGGCGTAGGACCGGCGGGGTTACAAATGCACAACTTGCACTATTTAATCTACAAATTAGCGTGGAATAGTGCATAAGTATAAGAATTGGGAAGCACCTACTGTGTCAAGTTGAACGATCTTCAACTTTCACAAGCAGCACTGCTCATTACTGTCAGTGGACCAATTAGAAGAGCTCGGAGGCGGGGCCACTGTTACAAGCTTCTGTTTATGGTATGAAGTTGCCATGATAACTGATTTATAGCGGTATATATCATGGCGGAGGAGGCATTCATTGTGTCTGTGTCCCGATATCCTGAGTTATGATGTGTCTTTATGTGCTTATCATAACATATTGTTTCCCTATTTCTACTAATGGGTTTGTTATTGTCGTTATTACATCACGTTTATAATATCGCGTCATGAGGACCTTGCAGTTTTTTAAAACCCATTTCTGAGCACAACATCTCGCATTTTTAGAAGCAAAGATGCATTCAGTGTGAATGAGCCCTAATACTAGTGCAGTATAGTACTAGTGCAGTGACTTTACCAATCGATTCAAAAATAAGCTGTCCAAATACAGCAGAGCTCTTTTAATTTACTGTTAAAGTCTGCGTGAAATCTAAATTTACAACATTTAATAACGTTTTGAGATCAAATGATTGAGTGTACACACATAATTCAACTAACAGAACCATTTAAATAGCAAGTATCTGTAATGCTATCCTCCATATAGGAAAATTCAAAGCACAATCATAATGAAACATTCATATTTAAATTAGCATAATTGACATATAAAAGATGTTAATGGTAAATGGGTCCCCAATCTCAGAATATATATATAAATATTAAAGTCATCACATCTAAATCTTGTGCTTTGTCAACATGTTGCATTATTATGCTGCATTATGAATAAATAATTGAACATCAAAGGCTTAAAAGGAGTTCTAAATAACAAACTTTTAACTAATATGAAGTAAAAAATATTAATAACAATGAGCCAGAAGGGGGCAGCATTTCACTTAAAATATTTTTGTTTATAATATGTTCATTTTTCCAGAAAAAGCTGTAAATATGAGCAGCTGTGCAGAACAAAATGGACTAAAAATTCATGCAAATGTGACACACAGTAAACAACACAAATTTCTTTCTCATTAAAACCCTATATATTATTTATAGATGTGTCTGTTGTTATAGAGTACTCACGTGTCTCATGGGCCGTTCCTCATGGAGAAACATTGGGTTTGAAGGGCTCAATTCAACTGTGGCCGTCATTACCAGATCCAAACGCTTAAACTTCACCTGAGAAAATATGGATATTTTTTTCATCTTCATTTGATTTTAAAGAAAAAGCATTTAAGCACATGAAAAGTAAACTACACTTATATTATGGGGCTGTTGATTCTGATTTGATAGTTGATTCTGTTGATAGTGCCGGCAGGTTTTAATACAAACTTATAATTAAAATGTAGGAATTACAAACTGTAAACTCAGAGTATTGAGGAGTAAACTCAGAAAGAAAAAAGGAAAAAAATAACTAAATTTAAACGTAAAAATACTCAATAAAAAAACGTACAAATTACGAGATGTAAACTCAATAAAAAAATACAAATTACAAGATGTAAACTCAATTAAAAAATACAAATTACAAGATGTAAACTCAATTAAAAAACATACAAATTACGAGATGTAAACTCAATTAAAAAATACAAATTACGAGATGTAAACTCAAATAAAAACATACAAATTACGAGATGTAAACTCAAATAAAAAACATACAAATTACGAGATGTAAACTCAATTAAAAAACATACAAATTACGAGATGTAAACTCAATTAAAAAACATACAAATTACGAGATGTAAACTCAATAAAAAAAATACAAATTACGAGATGTAAACTCAATAAAAAAAATACAAATTACGAAATGTAAACTCAATAAAAAAAATACAAATTACGAGATGTAAACTCAATAAAAAAAATACAAAGTACGAGATGTAAACTCAATAAAAAAACATACAAATTACGAGATGTAAACTCAATAAAAAAACATACAAATTACGAGATGTAAACTCAATTAAAAAACATACAAATTACGAGATGTAAACTCAATTAAAAAACATACAAATTACGAGATGTAAACTCAATTAAAAAAATACAAAGTACGAGATGTAAACTCAATAAAAAACGTACAAAGTACGAGATGTAAACTCAATAAAAAAATACAAATTACAAGATGTAAACTCAATAAAAAAATACAAATTACGAGATGTAAACTCAATTAAAAAAACGTACAAATTACGAGATGTAAACTCAAAAAACATACAAATTACGAGATGTAAACTCAATTAAAAAACTTACAAATTACGAAATGTAAACTCAATAAAAAAAATACAAATTACAAGATGTAAACTCAATAAAAAAATACAAATTACGAGATGTAAACTCAATTAAAAAAACGTACAAATTACGAGATGTAAACTCAAAAAACATACAAATTACGAGATGTAAACTCAATTAAAAAACTTACAAATTACGAAATGTAAACTCAATAAAAAAAATACAAATTACAAGATGTAAACTCAAAAAAAATACAAAGTACGAGATTTAAACTCAATAAAAAAACGTACAAATTACGAGATGTAAACTCAATTAAAAAACATACAAATTACGAGCTGTAATCTCAATTAATAAAACATTACGAGATAATTCATAAAGTCAATAATTATGAAAAAATGAAAAAATTTCAAAGACAAAGACAAAATTGTGCGACGTAAAAAAAGTCATAATTGTCAGACAAACTCATTTTTGTCAGTTATTCGTTACTTATTTCTAACATACTCACGGCTAATAAAGTGTGAAGATTGAGCCATCCTGTGACGGTGATGCTAACGTCTGCTTGTGGAGACAGGTTGAATCGGCACTGTGCTAATAATGCGTCACTGGTGGAGGCGTTCTGTCAACACAAACAACACAATATGGAGGACATTAAATGCTTTTGATCACGTAGCACTTGGAAAGTGAATGTGCCAGAGAGGAAGCTGTGAATGGATCATTTCCAATTTGGAGCACATATAGACTGCATATGAATAATTATGCTATCTGTAGCCAACAGCGAGTGATAAAGCAGCTTGAGTAGTTTGATTAATTAGCACTGTTAGTTTTGCATTTTGCTGCTTTGTGAATGCAGATGAACGCATTTAGTAGAGAATAAAAAGAAAATAAAGAGATCTGAATTGACATGTAATTTCTGAATAAAAAAACAGTCTGAATTTCCTCCAAAAAAGATGCAATTTCAGGACAAAAGTCAGCGTTGAGAAATGCAAACTCAGTTTTTTGAGAAAGAAAACATTCAAATTTGGAAAATGCAAACTCAGAATTCCAAGACATTATAAATACATAAGAATTGCGAGATCAGCAAATAAAAAAAAAACACAATTTCGATATGTCGACTCAGAATTTTAAAAACTGAAAATTGTGAGACGTAAAATCAGAATTAAAAAAAGAATTGCAAGATGTAAACTCAGAATAAAAAAATATTAAATAGCAAGCTGCAAACTTTAAAAAAATTTAAGAAATGCGAGATATAAACTCAGATTTTACAAAAAAAAAACTTAACAATTGTGAGACAATTTTATATTTATATTTACTTATTTATAAACTAAATTTGAAAAAATTTAATAATTGTAAAATGTAAATTCGGAATGAAAAAATGTAACAATAGCAATATGCAAACTCAAATTATCCAAAAAAAAAAAAGTAAGAATTGCGAGACGTAAATGCAGAAGTAAAAAAAAAAATGTAGGAATTGTGAAACCTGAACTCAGATTTTAAAAAAACGTAGGAATTGTGAAACCTGAACTCAGATTTTAAAAAAACGTAGGAATTGTGAAACCTGAACTCAGATTTAAAAAAAACGTAGGAATTGCAAGGGGGGAACTAAAATATTTTAAAAAGAATATATGAAATACCAAAAAAAAAAAAAAAACATAACAATAGTGACATGTAAATTCGGAATATTAAAAAATGTAACAATTGCAAGACATAAACTCAGAATATAAAAAAACGTAAGAGTTGCAAAATGTAAACTTTGAATAAAAAAAAAACGTAAGAATTGCAACACAAAATAGCAATATGTAAATTCAGAATATTAAATAAAACATAATTGTGAGACGTAGTGAGATAGTGACATGCAAATTCAGAATATTAAAAATCATAAGAATTTTGAGACGCAAACTCAGGATATTAAAAACGTAAGAATTGCGAGATGTATAATCAGAATTTTAAAAAACAACAATAGTGACATGCAAGTTCAGAATATTAAAATAACAATAATTGTGAGAAGTAAACTCAGTATATTAAAACGTAAGAGTTGCAAGACGTAAACTCAGAATTTAAAAATACATAACAATAGTAACATGCAAATTTAGAATATAAAAAAAACCTAATAACTGCGAGACGTAAACTCAGTATATTAAAAAAGTAAGAAATGTGAGACAAACTCAGATAAAAACAAAACGTAAGAATTGCAAGACGTAAACTCAGGATTTAAAAAAAACTACAATAGTGACATGCAAATTCAGTATATAAAAAAATTTAAGAATTGTTAGATGTAAACTCAGGATTTAAAAACATAACAATAGTGACATGCAAATTAAGAATATAAAAAACGTAAGAATTTTGAGACGTAAACTCAGAATTTAAAAAAACATAAGAATTGCAGGGCGTAAACTCAGAATTTAAAAAAACATAAGAATAGTGACATGCAAATTCAAAATATAAAACGTAATAATTGCGAGATGTAAACTCAGAATAGTAAAAAAGTACGAATTGTGAGACGTAAACTCAGATAAAAAAAAAAACATAAGATTTGCGAGACTTAAACTCAGAATTTAAAAAACATAACAGTAGTGACATGCAAATTCAGGATATAAAAAAACGTAATAATTGTGAGACGTAAACTCAGAATATTAAAAAAAGTACGAATTGTGAGACAAACTCAGTTTTAAAAAACGTAAGAATTGCAAGACGTAAATTCAGAATTTAAAAAACATAACAATAGTGACATGCAAATTCAGAATATAAAAATACATAATAATTGCGAGACGTAAACTCAGAATATAGAAAACATAACAATAGCAATAAGCAAACTCAGAATTTAAAAAAGACGTAATAATTGCGGAAAGTAATCTTAGAGTTTAAGAATAATCTTCGTAATCTTACACTTGCAAGTTGTAAACCAAAATTTTAAAACATAAATTTGCAATAGCCTGACATTTGACATAAAATTGCAACTACATTTTTTTCGTGGCAGAAACAGGCATATATAAAATATACATATATCAGTGTATTGAAATCTTTCGAAGAAGTTCAGAAAAAGTGAGATGTACCATGTGTGCATTGAGGGAAAGATCTTCTTCCTGTGAGGAGGAGCCGGCGGTGATGACACGTGGAAAACTGCAGAGCGATCCCGGCATCTGAGATGAACACACACACACACACACACACAGATGAGGATTTACACAAGAACAGCGCTTACTAAAACACAACAACTGATCCAACTCAAACTCACATTAGCAAACAACACACTCTGGAAGCAGTTAAAGCGTTTGTTTACGGCAGTGATTCAGTTCAGATCAACGACTGCTTTCAAAACAAGCCAACAATGATTCTGAGCACGCTTAAACGAAGACACATTTATTTAAATGAAGACACATTTATAATCAACATGAGACGTGAGGATTTGCCTTTAAAAAAACATAGAAGTCAACTCGCTCATAACAAAAACAAACATCTGCCAAATTTAATTTGAATTAATTTATTCAGCATTTATTTTCCTTTAATTGTGATGCATTAAAATGTAAAGTGAGATGTTCAGCATAATAAAACATCCTTACCTCAGCAGGGTGTGTCATGTTTTTGGGTCCCCTTAAAACATTTTAGTTGTGTTACGTGAAAATTTTCAAGTGTTGTGACCAATTTGCTGCACAGTTCTTGCCGCGTGTTCCTTCATGTTATATATATATATATAAAATTTATCTCTAAAGTAGTACTAGTTTCTTGGAGATATTTGTACTTAAAAACAATTAATAACACTTAATTACTTAATAAAATATGATATTTGAAGCGTTTTCATGCTGTAAACAAAACAAACATCTTCAACAAATAAAGTATTAATTTATTTATTTATTTATTTATTTATTTGGGGTAAGATGTTTTCTTTTTATTATTTTTTTTTTTACATTTAAATATTTTATTTTTATTGTTGATTTATTTTATTTTGTCTCAAGTAGCATTATATGGGACATACTTGTGCTTATAAAACATTAAAAATAATGAGTGATATTATTTTAAGTATGTTCTGCAAGGTGAAGTAGTTTAGCCGGCAGCTCGCTCTCTGCAACTCACATGGTCGCCCACTGAAGCTAAGCAGGGCTGTGCCCTGTCAGTACCTGGATGGGAGACCACATGAGAAAGCTAGGTTGCTGCCGGAAGTGGTGTTAGAGAGGCCAGTAGGGGGCGCCCAACCTGTGATCTGTGTGGGTCCTAATGCCCCAGTATAGTGAAGGGGACTCTATACTGCTCAGTGAGCGCCGTCTTTTGGATGAGATCTTAAAACGAGGTCCCGACTCTCTGTGGACGTTAAAAGTCTATCATGGCCTCCTAACCCTCCCCATATCATAATTGGCTTTGTCTCTGTCTCCTCTCCACCAATCAGCTGGTGTGTGGTGTGCGGTCTGGCACAAAATAGCTGATGTCGCCTCATCCAGGTAGATGCTGCACACTGGTGGTGGATGAGGAGATCTTCCCCAATGTGTAAAGCGCTTTGAGTGTCCAGAAAAGCGCTATAAATATGTAAGGAATTATTATTTAACAGTATCTTGGGCATATATGTGCTTCAAAACAATTAAAATAGCAAGAAATAAAATCTTTTTTCTACAATGTGAAGTAGGTTAGGGATGAAATTAATTGGTGGAACATTATATACATTTCATATATATTTTTGTCTTTGAAGAAAAAGTATCGTGGACTATTTGTACTTAATAAAATCTTTCTAACATGCAATGGAAGCCATTCATGGTACTGTAAACTGAAATAAAGGCACTGAAAACGCACCTGCTGGATATACAGGTCTGAGAGGTGCAAAAGAGTGTTTGCTTTTCTGGTCACGGCGAAGACGTTTAATGTAAAGAGAAGCTCAGAGACGGGGAACAGGCCAAGATTCTGGATCTGCAAAACAAATCGCTCTGAATAGGTTTTGTCCAAAGCAAACATTGATTTAGTTCAGATGCACAGCAAATGAAGAACGATTCACTGTTCGCTCTGAAGAATGCCTTCTACAGCAGCTTTCTTATGGTAAATGAGGAGCTCACCTGATAAGAGAGGTTAAACGGAGGTCCAGACCCGACAGAGACGCTCTGAGCCTGTTCAGGTTTGATCTCAAAGCGGGACGGACTGGAGTCTCTGGAAGAAAAACACTGCTTACACTCCCAGAATCAATCAGTCAGTGTCAAACATCCGTTTATTTCTGCTGGACTCTCTTATAAAGCTGTGAAGGGTCATATTTATGACAGAAAATCTTATTTTTGTGTGAATATATTGACCACATGCTACATGAAAATATACTATAGTAAATGATAGTAGATACTATAGTACTTTATAAAGTGCATTATACTGTATGTATTATAGCATTTACAACTATGACTGCTGCAGCATTAACTGTAGTGCACTGATACACTATAAATACTGAGGCATACTTTAGTTTTTACTACAGTATAATCTACACTATCGCTCCTATAGAGTAAAGCTACAGTATTCCGTCATTTGTTTATATTACTGTAGCTGTTGTGTTACCATAGCAACTATAGAGTTACCCAACAGATCAATTACTATACTGCCGCTTATTTTTAGTTCACTGTGGGAATCTTTCTACTGCGTTACCTTGTGAAGAGAAGATCAGCCTCATATCTCAGATTATGATGAATGTTATTGACGTTGTCCTCTGGAAACATCTCTTCACCTTCACTGCAGCGAAATAAATAAAGTCAGTCCGTTTATCTGTCTGTCCAGTCATCACTCTGTCCATCCATTCATCTATCTATCCATCCATCCATCCATCTATTTGTCTATTAATCCATCCATCACTCTGTCCATCCATCCATCAATCCATTTGTCTGTTCGTCCATCCATTTGTCAGTCCATCCATCCATCTATCCATCTATCCATCCATCCATCCATCCATCCATTTGTCTATTAATCCATCCATCACTCTGTCCATCCATTCATCCATCTATTCATCCATCCATCTATTTGTCTATTAATCCATCTATCACGGTCCATCCATTCATCCATCTATTCATCCCTCCATCTATTTGTCTATCAATCCATCCATCACTCTGTCCATCCATTCATCTATCTATTCATCCATCCATCACTCTGTCCATCCATCCATCAATTCATTTGTCTGTTCGTCCATCCATTTGTCAGTCCATCCATTTATCTATCCATCCATCCATCCATTCATCTATCCATCCTTCTATTTGTCTATCCATCCACCCATCCATCCATCCATTCATCCATCCATTTGTCTTTCCATCCATCCATTTGTCTGTCAGTCCATCCATCACTTTGAGCATCAATCCATCCATCCATTTGTCTATCCATCCATCCAACCATCCATCCATCCATCCATCCATCCATCCATCTATCGATTTGTCTGTCCGTCCATCCATCACTTTGTGCATGCATCCATCTGTCCATACATCTATCTATTTGTCTACCCATCCATCCATCCATCCATCCATCCATCCATTTGTCTGTTCGTCCATCCATCACTTTGTGCATCCAGCCATCCATCCATCCATTTGTCTACCCATCCATCAATCCATCCATTTATCCATCCCTTTGTCTACCCATCCATCCATCAATCCATTCATCCATCCATTTGTCTACCCATCCATCCATCAATCCATCCATCCATCCATCCATTTGTCTACCCATCCATCCATCCATCCATCAATCCATCCATCCATCCATCCATCCATCCATTTGTCTACCCATCCATCCACCAATCCATCCATCCATTTGACCGTCCATCCATCCATCCATCCATCCATCAATCCATCCATCCATCCATCCATCCATCCATCCATCCATCCATCCATTTGTCTACCCATCCATCCACCAATCCATCCATCCATTTGACCGTCCATCCATCCATCCATCCATCCATCAATCCATCCATCCATCCATCCATCCATCCATCCATCCATTTGTCTACCCATCCATCCACCAATCCATCCATCCATCCATTTGACCGTCCATCCATCCATCCATCCATCTGTCCATCCATTTGTCTACCCATCAATCCATCCATCCATCCACCCATCCTTCCATTTGTCTACCCATCCATCCATCCATCCATTTATCCATCCATCCATCCATCCATCCATTTGTCTAACCATCCATCCACCAACCCATCCATCCACCAACCCATCCATCCATTTGTCTACCCATCCATCCATCAATCCATCCATCCATCCATCCATCCATCCATTTGTCTACCCATCCATCCACCAACCCATCCATCCATCCATTTGTCTGTCCGTCCATCCATCAATCTATTCATCCTTCCGTCAATTTGTCTGTCCGTCCATCCATCAATCCATCCATCCACCAAAGGAATGTGAAAGGGACTTTACCTGGAGACCCTCAGTGAGATGTTGACGTAGTTTAAGAAGACAGATCTGCTGAACTCAAACTCCAGGCGAAAATAGACCTGAATAAACACACACACACAAACACACACACACACAAACACACACACACACACACACACACACACACACACACACACACACACCAATGAATCACCCATGAATCACCACAGAGAAGCCAATCTAAACACAACAATCTACAAAAGCACATTCTGTCCATCTACTCTGCAGTCTTTTACAGCTTCTGCATTTCTCATCGTCGTGTAATTGGCGATGCGATGATTAATGGAACTGCTGCTAAGTACCGAATTTCCAAAGGGGCTCAAGAAAAACAAGAGGAATACAAGAAGAAGAAAAAGAAGAGTTTGGTGTGACGCCAGCTTAGGAAACCACACCGAATAACCAAACAATCACACAAGGACATCTAAAAACTCTCTGAGGAACATCCCACTGAGAGAAAGACAAGAAGCTACGCAGAAAATGAGCACAGAAATGATTGTTTATCAGTCCCGTTCTGACAAGTATGAACAAATATCCACAAGTGAGGAGAATTATGGGGTATGACATGATGAGTTTTCCGTTCTGCGGCTTCTGTCGATGTCAGGAGGATTACGAAGACGTCTTTTACAATTCCAGGCTTCTGTTTTGTCCCAATTAACTCCAATGATTTCTGAACAATGTGATGTTTGTTTTCACAAGCAATCAAGAGGCACCATTATTCTGACCACAAAATAAAACAAATGTCTGAATCTCTAATATCTATAGTGTGTGTGTGTTTGTGTGTGTGTGTTTCAGCTCCAAATACTGCACAGATAATGTTTATAACTCCTGAAACTGACCCTTTAGGCTTTGATCCTGATGTGTGTTTTGGTGACTGTCGCTTTAAATGCAAATGAGAGTGCTCTTTTTAGAAGAGGGCGGGGCTACAAATGCGTGTGTCAGCATAGTGGCAGATTCAAACCTCTTAATGGACAGACGGCTGCTTCTCACTCAGGGTTGTTTATGCTAATGAGGGAGAGATGGTCACTAGTGGGCGGGGCTTTCTCCCTCTGATGACACGAACAAATTGATTGAAGAATTGTCAATTTAATGTCAATCAAACTGTCTGTTTTTATCAAGTCTGACTATTAACAACAGAATTAATCAATGTTTACCATTAGAGGGTGGATATATTTACACACTGCTGACACACAATCGTGTTTAAACGCCTTATAAAAGTGATTTTTGTATAATAGGTGCCTTTCAAAAGGTCTACTTTTCTAGATATTACCTGAGAGCTGAGTAAATTGATTGGTTTGGACAATATTTGATAACTATTTGAAAATCTGGAAATCTGAGGATTTAAAAAATCTAAATACTGAAAAAACATTATTTAAATGTAAAAAATAAAGTGAAAATAAAGTTTAATAACAAACAACAGAGATAAATACAAAACATGTGTTCGCTAAAATCAAAATATGCCTAATATTAGCACATATATTTACGCATTTTAAAAGCAAGTATGTAAATCGCTGGGCTTTATGTCTATTGATGCACTATAACTGCTGATTGGTGGGTTGGTAAGCAAGCATTGCATTGTGGGTAATGTAGTTTCTTAGCACACATTCTGCTAGTTAAAACAGTTGATTTAAAAAGTGATGTGAGTAGATGGTTCAACGAGGTAGTACACAATCAACTACATCAGGGATTCTCAACCACTAGTGTGCCTCGGCGATCCTGCTTAAAATGAACTGAAATGTTATACTATAAATATTTTTTAAGTATCTAACGCGCTTTTACCAATCTTTACTTAGCTTTAAAAACTAACAAAACAAAATGTATGGTTTTTAATAGAAATTTACCACGTGTTAAGGTTCCTCCAGAAATTTCCTCATTGGACGGTCCTGAGATTGATTATGTTGATTGCTATAAATATCTTGGTATCTGGTTAGATGGGAAACTGGCGTTTGAAACTCACATAAATGAACTGCTCAAAAAGCTTAAAGCCTGCTTTGGTTTTCTTTACAGCAACAAATCTTCCTTTACTTACTCTTCAAAGCAGCATTTGGTCGAATTAACAGTATTACCAATTCTGGATTAGGGGGATTTGATTCACAGATCAGCTTCAAAAACTCTTCTTGACAAACTGGATGTTATTTATCATGCAGCATTTCGTTTTGTTACTGGTGCACCATTTAATACTCATCACTGTCAACTGTACTCTTTATTGAATTGGCCTTCTCTTCAATCACGTTGATAAATTCATTGGTTTCTGTTCATTTATAAAACTCTTATTAGAAAAACTCCACTATATTTAGTCACTTCTTAACATTCAGGAAACATGCCGAAATCTGCGATCTAGTAATTTCATTAACCTTTGCATACCCAAAGTTCGCACTTCATTAGGTCGATACTCTTTTCAGTTTTCTGCTGCTGATGCTTGCAATCATCTGCAGCAGACCTTAAAGCTCAGCACTTTCATTCCGCTGTCATCTTTTAAAAATTCAATCCAGTCAATAGTTCAAGATCGCTGTGCTTGTTTTTAGTTTTTTTTGTTGTTTTTATATGCTATTATCTGCATTTGTGAAATTGTCTTTGTATTGTGTCCCTACTGCTTTGTACTGCATCTGCTTTTCATGTTGCCTCTTGGCCAGGTCATCATTGTAAATGAGAACTGGTTCTTACCTGGTTAAATAAAGGTTATTATTATATTTGATTTCATTATTAAATATGTCATGTTTAAATGATAGTAGTTATGGCATTTCCCGTTTTCTGTGACTGAACAGGCTAATTCAGACTACTTCAGGATTAATTACAGATGACTGTGGCTTAAATCACCAACTGCTGCGTGTCAACTAGGACTTCGTTCTCAGGTGTATAACAAAACAGTCACGCAAATGTAAAGGTAACGATGATAATAACCAGCTCGAGTTTTTTTTTTTTGTAAAATGATGTAGAAAAATGAGGAAATAACAGAAGGCAAAAGAAATGTTTTGCTAATAAATAAAGGTTTAAAATAAGCATTTTCGCTAGACAATCAGTTTGGGCCTTCAAAAAATTTTCTTTTCGAAGTGAAAAAGGTTGAAAACCCCTAAACTACATGACAATATCTAAAAATAATATCATATGCTCACCTGAGCGCTGGCCCTCATGAATGGTGCGCTGACGTTGCAGGTTCGGTAGAGACTCGTATCGTCAGAGTTCGGGCACTCGATGGCAATGTCTGAAGGTGCCTGAAAATTTAATTGAACTCATTTTAAATTAAAATGGAAAAAGAGACTTCAATATATATATATTTGGGTAACATTTTTCTCCATCTCCGAGCTACAGTTTATATAACACTTTTTTATAACACACAATTTTTTTTATACTTTATTTTTATTTCTCTTTTTAAGGAAAAAAAAACAAGGAAAAAATAAAAATAATAGATTTAAAAAATAAATAATACAATAAAACACCTGAACTTAAATGAACAGTTGACTGGTCACATATTTCCTTACAGGTCACATGAACAAATACATATAGAAGTCAGATTACACTGTGTAAAGGCATAAGTACAATCCATTTCTCCCAATATTGCAAATATTTGTCCATTTGTAGTTTTAAAGAAAAAGTCATCCTCTCCATATTCTGAACATTAGACATGATATCCAACCATTCAGATTTTGTAGGGGGTTCCAGTTGTAGCCACTTTCGGGTCACAGTTTTCTTACTGGTTGCCAGGAGTATTTTTAATAAATACTTGTCTTTTACCGTTAAGTTGGCTGCAATATTTCCCAGATAAATTGTTGTAAAAAAAATCCACATCATCACCAAAAATATATTGTATTGCTTGCATTACGTCCTACCAGTTTGACTGAATGGATGGGCAACTCCAAAATATGTGAAAGTGGTTTGCCAAGTCTACTCCACATTCCCTCCAGCACTGTCCCCTGTCCTTCTCCCGTGTTTGCATGCATGTAAATTTGGGGGTTATAAAGTATCTAGTAAGATTCCTCCAGCAAAAATCTCTCCACATACCAGAGCTGGAAGAGGTGGCCTGTACTGAGCAGATATTCAACCATGTAATGCAATTTTATTTATTAGATTGTTTTGAGAGATTTTCACACTAGTGTAAAAATATGAATCTCAAGACATGTTGATATGAGTTTTGTGTAATAAGTAAATGCATTTGGATTTTTTGTTTTAGTTTTTTTGTTTGTTTAGAGGGAGACAAAATCACTTTTATTTATTTATTTATTTATTTATTTATTTATTTATTTATTTATTTGTTTTTGCCCAAATTTGTTTTTCTATTATTATTATTCACCTATATTTGATTATAAATCTATTATTTTTCAACTATTTTATTAATTCAATTCAATTCATGTTTATTTCTATAGCACTTTTACAATGTAGATTGTGTCAAAGCAGCTTAACATAGAAGTTCTAGTAAATTGAACAGTTTTCAGAGCTGGAATTAAGCTAAAACAAAATGTAAGTACACCCATCCATTCATCCATCCATTTAATGAAGTATTTTACAGAACATATATGAATGCACTATATTAAAAACATGTATTAATTTCCTTTATTTTTAATTAAGTACATTTTGGGGATCAAAACTGGTTAAAAATAGCATTCTTTCTCTAACAATAGATTAAAAATAAAATTATTTTGGCTGGTCATGATTTTTTTTAACTGTTTTTGCTTTTTTTTAATTTAATAAATCATTTTATTATAAATAATTTTTAATAATTTCTGAGTGGCATTTATCAGACTCCTCTGAGCTTGAAATGCTGCCTGTGAAGTCAGTGAGGACGTTTTTGAAGCAGATCCACACACTGACTCACACTTTCCTTCACTCCTGCCCTCTTTATCTCAAGCTCTTCATTCTCATGTTCTCATTCCTGCTTTCAACCTCTAAACCCTCATAAATCCAGCTGAAGCTCTGGAGAGTTGACACACTCTTTTCCTTTCCATATGCACCAGACATCTTCTTACTAACACTTGTGCGATTCTTAGTATTCTTCTTCTGAGTGGGGTTGACGGACCACTTGTAGTAGACACTATTTTCCTCTCCATATGCACCAGACACTTTCTTATCAGGCTTTAAATAATCTAGCTCTTGTTCGTCTAACCAACCTTCTGTCTTGCTACAATTTAATATGCTCTTTAAGATCTCAAAACTCATAGCAAATGCAACTAATGGAGGCCAAGTGTTTTAATATATGGCTCCTAAACTCTGGAATAGCCTTCCTGATAATGTTTGAAGCAAAATAATTCTAATAATAATATTAATAATAATCATAATAATAGGTAGAGAAAATAAACAAAAAACTAAATAATATAAAATAAATGAACTAACTTAAATAATAATAATAATAATAATAATAAAATCATAATAAATAAAAATAGAGATTTTTTAAATTAAATAATAATGAATAAATAAAATAACTTAAGTAGTAGTAATAATAATAATAGTAATAACAATAATAAGAAAATAATAATAATAAATAATAAAAGGAGAGAAAAATAAATAAAACTAAAATAATATTAAATAAATAAACTAACTTAAGCAATAATAATAATAATAAAATAAATAATAATAATAGAAAAAAATTAATAAAAATAAAATTATATTAAATAAAACAACTAGCGTAGGTAATAATAATAATAAAATAATAATAAATAATAATAAAAGTAGAGAAAAAATAAAAAAATAAATTAACTAATTTAAGTAATAATAATAATAATAACAATAAACTAACTTAAGTAATAATAATAATAATAATAATAAATATTAATAATAAAAGTACAGAAAAACAAAAAATAAAATAATATTGAATAAATGAACTAAGTAATAATAATAATAATTAAAGTAGAGAAAAAATTAAATAAATGAACTAAGTAACAAAAAATTACTAATAATAATAAATAATATTAATAATAATAATAAAAGTAGAGAAAAATAAAATAATATTAAATAAATAAATGTATGCAATAGTAATAATAATAATAATAATAAAAGTAGAGAAATTATAAAAATAATATTAAATAAATAAACTAACTTAAGTAATAATAATAATAAAATAATATAATAATATTAATCAGAATTATATTAATAAAGCAAAATTAAATTAAAAGGTTGGAGGAGGTAATGGGTCAAAGAAAGAAATGGATTAAATCAATGGGCGAATTTAGAATTTAACGAAAATATGTTTCATTGTGCAATACTGAGTGTGCTCGGAGAAAAAAATACAAATAAAAATTTATATACTGCAACTCTCTGATGATTTGAGGTGCTTCTTCACTTGTAAAAAAAGCATCTGCTAAACAATAAATATATTAAGTATAAAATGAAAACGCACCTTCACCACCAGACTGGAGAAGTGCAGGTTTGGAGAGTGTGTGATGTGCAGGATGGAGTTGTACGCGTTCTCTCCTCTGTTCTCCAAGTGCGTCTCCACCACTACTTTCCTCCTGCTGGACTCTACCAAACGCTCAGGGGTCTTTATGGAGCTCTGATCGACACACGGCGGCCACGAGGAGCGCTCATCACGGCTGCAGAACTCCCTGAAACACACACCAGATGCAGGAAACTCACTCAAATATAAATTAACAAACTGTAATGTATGTAAGAGCATGTGCGCAAATAAAAAATTATGTATCTCATCTGGATCGAAACAAACCCAAAAGGTGCCACAACTGTGCTAGTAAATGTAGCTAAAGCTATATAAAGCATTCCTCCTCTCAAAAGCCAGCACTGAAGCCTGCAATGCATGAGAAAGAGGTGAAAGCAAACCTGAGATCTAACAAGTCGGAGCTGCTCTGCAGGATGAGGTTGGGAACGCACTGATCGTCATTATCACAGCCGTTCCAGAAAGGAAGCTGAAGAGGAAAACATCATTGTGATGAATGCACAGTAATTGATCAGTTATTATTCACTCTTCATCAGTTTTACCTCTGACCGCAGGCTTGTTGGCCAGCCGTCGTCCAGCACCGGTCCTTCATCTGCTCTCTGCAGGCCTACATTTACAGTGAAGGTCAGAGGTCGCGTGTAGTCTGTCACTTCCTGTGTCAACAAATAAGATTTCATTAATACTGCAAAAAAAGGTGTAATAGAATAAATTCAACAACATTTTGTACGTGACGATTCATTTTTAATGGTTGATTAATTTAGAAATAAGGCAAGTGAATGAATGGATCGCTGATTCAAATGATTCGTTTGAGAAACAGATTCATTCAGGAATGAAACTCGCTGTTGCTCTGCTCTGGATTAGCTAACCACTAAGCCATCGTGTTGCCTATACAGATTTATTATGTAAATAAAACATTTTATTTTCAATGCAATTAATCGCGATTAGTCATTTGAGAGCAATAATTAAATAAGCCTTATAACAATTCATTACAACCCAAGCTCATTCTGGAAACGTAGCCCAGCGGACGTTTCTGGAGACCGCGATTTACGTGGCCGGAGGTACGTACGGCCGCGTTTAGTTTTTCTCGAGCGAACGCTGCAGGTCGGTGTGGCGCCGCTCTGCTCCTCCTCTCCGCGCTTGCCAGCCGACGGCTCGCCTCCGAGTGGAGGGCTTTCCCGCTACTACCAGTTTGTCCGCTTAGCTCGCAGCGTTACGTCGGCGGAGCGGAGGCCCGGAGGAGGAGGAGCCGGCCGCGGGGACGAACGGGATCAGGTCCAGGGAAGAGCGGTTCCAGAAATCAGGTAAGATGAAAAACAGAATCTAAAAAATAAGGGCGAGAACGCGGGGGAATCCGAAAACGCGGTCGAAATCGAAGACGAGGGCTTTTGCTTTTTTTTTTCTGGATGGCTTTTGCAAACCGTCGCTTGTGTTTAGGGAAGGAGGAGGAGGAGGAGGAGGGCGGCCGGCCGGGTCGTCAGATCTGCCGGCCGCCCAGTCGATCGCTCGGTCGTTCAGCCGGCCAGTTGGACGGACGGTTGCTCCACAGCTCAGGCGCAAACGCCGCGCGCTCCCGAGAGGCGCTCGAGACGCGAAAAAGCGTGCACAGCGGCCTCTCACGAATCCACGAAGACAAAAACTGCTTGAATACGTACCTCCCGGGACTTATTTCGTGGTCCGTGGGGCTACGTTTCCACAATGAGCCCGGGTTGATTCATTACTTTAAATAGTCTTCATGCAGTCAGTAGGTTTGAACTCTCAAGATGTGTTTATTGTTTATTTGTGTTTATTTTTAGTGTGATATAATGATCAATGATACAATGATATAATGATCATAAATGAATACGGTCTCTCACATGAACGTGGAAGTGGAGTTGTTGGCAGTGTTGCGCTGCGGGCCGCAGTGTGACGTCTCTGCTCTCTTCTGTGCTGTCCAACACGGCTCGGGGGAAATAGCCAGTCTCCTCAAAACCAAAGCTGTACCTCAGCGCTGGACACAAGAGAATAAGTTCATAATGCAAACAATGAAAGGTACATTCAAGCTCCAAGATGACAAACAAAACAAATTCATATCAACAGTCTATACATATTTGTCTGTATATATTGTCTATATAAATGAAACTGTGTCAGTTCAGTTTTCAGAGTTGAAGTTCAGTTCACTTCAGTTCAGTTCAGTTCAGTTCAGTTCAGGGTGGTTTAATATTTACTGCTGTAATTCCAAAAACTGAAGAGCAAATCCGTTGATGCACAGCTCCACAACTCCCAAGCTAGCAAGCCAGTGGTGACAGTGGAGGAACAAAACTTGACCAATTGTCGAAAGTGAAGGAAAAAAACCTTGATACCAGGATCAGTTGGGTACAACCATTTTTCCTCTGGCCAAACTTCTTGTGCATTTATCTATAAATATATCTGTCTCTATATATTTGTCTCTATATTTGTCTATATATATATATATATGAGCAATATCACATGAGTAGCAGTGCGATATGGCTGTATATTGGCACTGGTGGGAGGCGTGCGATGGCACGGGGCCAGGAGTGCCTTAGTGCCCCCAGCAGTGCTGATATACAGCCATATCGCACTGGTACGAGTGTGATATTGCGTTTATACAACAGTTTGACGGCATAAATGTGTATATAAAAACAAAATCAAACATGGAGAGTCTCAAAAACCCTTTTGTATGAGGAACTACTTTCTTCCGTGTTGGATTCAAATCATAAGCTGACAGTTAAACAGCTGAGCAAGCATCTTTTACACTTTAGATCTGTAGTGTCTGCTTGTTGCTGGCTGTATGTGGGCGGAGTAATACACAAAGGGTAAAGAGGCTGTACGGATGCTGATATTACTTAAATATATCATCACGGCTATCAGCCAATCAGATTCGCTATATATATATATATATATATATAGTTGAAGTCTGAATTATTAGCAACCCTGTTTATTTTTTCCCCAATTTCTGTTTAAGAGAGTGAAGATTTTTTTCAACACATTTCTAATCATAATAGTTTTAATAATTCATCTCTAATAACTGATTTAAATTCCCTTTTTTTCATGATGACAGTAAATAATATTTTACTAGATATTCTTCAAGACACTTCTATACAGCTTAAAGTGACATTTAAAGGCTTCACTAGGGTAATTAGGTTAATCAGCAGGTTAGAGTAATTAGGCAAGTTATTGTATAATGATGGTTTGTTCTGTAGACTATCGGGGAAAAAAATAGCTAATAATAATAAGGGGCTAATAATATTGTCCTTAAAATGGCTTTTAAAAATTTAAAATGGCTTTTATTCTAGCCAAAATAAAACAAATCAGACTTTCTCCAGAAGAAAAAATATTATCAGACATACTGTGAACATTTCCTGAATCTGTTAAACATCATTTGGACAATATTTAAAATTTAAAAAAAAATAAAACGGGGGCTAATAATTCTGACCTCACCTGTATATACATGATCAAGTCTGAAATAATTTATACAGTACTAATTTAAGGCTTGACTATATATATGTTTATATATATGTTTATTTATTTATCTATACATATAGACTATACGGCAGTTGAAGTCAATGTGAAGTACAACTTTTCCCCCACAATTAGATGCAATAAAAGTAAAAATTAAAGGTATTAAAAATGTGTGCTCACATTAGGAATGATAAGTATAAACACAACAATAACTATAACTATATTAGCTTCCATATCAGCACACAATATTTCTATATTTATTATAAGGAAAATAAATAAAAACTGTATTCAGTTTTAGACATAAAAAGGTGTAATACAATAACAAACAAATCTAAACTTTGAAATTAAAATGTAATAATATTAAAATAAAACTAAGTTTTCAAGCTATTATTAAAGACTATATTAATATCTAAATCCTACAATAAGATGGCAGTGAATTCCTAAAGTAATTTTTTTCTATATTTATTAAACTTTTTTTAAACAACAATTATCTCACAATGTTTAGATCAAGATGCATTTATTGAGAAAGCAAAGTAAGAATGATAATAAATCTTAATATATATATATATATATATATATATATATATATATATATATATATATATATATATATATATATATATATATATATATATATAGTATATATATATATATAGCAATCAAAATTACGCAAGTTTTGACCGGGCTACTTATTTTCAGAGTGAATTGTTCCCTTCAGAAATCTCAATACTTTGTATATTTTGATTTCTGCATGATCCCAGTTCCCGTCTGATGAAGAGGTGAATACAGTTTGTGTGTTTGTGGCTCTCAGACGAGTTTACATCCATAAAAAGCTCCTCCGTCCCGATCTTATAAGTTCCAGATGGGAATGAGGGGATGCCTGACACACTTTTATGATGCTTTCCACGGGCTTTTCTCTCTCCAAACGCCAGGATTAAAGTGTTTTCCCTTTGGCCGGAGGCTTTGTGCATTAGGAAAAACTGTTGTAATATTAAGGAGTGACCTTTTGAGCTACATCTGTAGTAGATTAAATACAGGCACAGGACAGTGGAAAGTACAGCCGATGCATTTATTACTGGTCACTGAGTTTGAGGTTTGCTGATGGCCACTAGCTATCTAAAGTTGCGAATTAGATTCATACGCAAAATTGTAATATTTCATAAAACGTTTGTGTATAAATCAGCGTTTTTAAGTCAAAGGGAACAAAATGGTCCCCGCATAGCAAACTTTCTCTGGCCCAGATCTGGCCCACACCATCAGCATTTGCTTGGCCAACATGCCGCAGTTGGACCAAGTCTGGCTTCCATACAAGAGGCAAACGTGGACCATATCTGGGCCAAGTCTCAGCCGTGTTAATAACACATAACTGGGCCTGAACTGGGCCAGATGTGTTGGTGTGTCACGACTGAAATGTTTTTTTTATAAACCCATGAAGCTTTTCGCTTTATGGCTGTGCTTTTTCTTGAAGCGACCTGATTGATAGAATTTTTTCTTTAATCAGAAATAATTTAAATGTATTTTAAAAGTGGGTCAAGATATAGGCCAAACTTACATGGCTCACATATACACTTTTAACATCTGGGCCAAATACTACACTTGACATCTGGGCCACGTCTTGCGTGCCGCCACTAAGACGGTGCCACCTCGGCCAAACCTGGGCTGTGTTTGGCCCACATGCTGTATGACAGTGCCGGACGAATACCTGCTGTGCCAGCTTTATGCAACCCAGGCTCATTGTGGAAACGTAGCCCCACGGATGTTTCTGAAGGATGTGAAATACGTGCCGGGAGGTATGTATTTGTGCAGTTTTTGTTTGTGCGAATCCCAGAGGGGCCGATGTGCCGCGCTTTTTCGCGTCTTGAACGCCTCTTGGGAGCGCACGCCGTTTGCACCCGCGCTGTTCTCATGCGAAAAACCGGCAGAGGCCACTGTCGAGCGACCGTCTGTCCGACTGACGGACTGAATAACTGAACGATCGACTGGCCAATCGGCCAAACCAGCCACCCTCCTCCTCCTCCTCCTCTAAACCCATGCAACGATTTACAAAAGCTGTCCAGAAAAAAAAAAAAAGCAAAAGCCCTCATCCTATTTTGACCGCGTTTTCGGGTTTTATCGTTTGCTTTTATTTTTTGGATTCGGTTTTTCATCTTACCAGATTTCTGGAACCGCTCTTCCCTGAACTTGAACCCGGTCGTCGCCGCGGCTGGCTCCTCCTCCTCCAGGCCTCCGCTCAACCGAAGTAACACTGCGAGCTAAGCGGACAAACTGGTTGTGGCGGGAAAGCCCTTCACACGGAGGTGAGCCGTCGCAGCCGGCGAGCGAGTGCGAAGAAGAGGAGCGGCGTCACACCGCCCCATAGCGTTCGCTCGAAAAAAACAAATGCGGCCATACGAACCTCCAGCCACGTAAATTGCGGTCTCCAGAAACGTCTGCGGGGCTACGTTTTCAGAATGAGCTTGGGTTGGCTTTATGCCAAATTCTTTGCTAACTGGGTCCCTTCCTGATAAACTGGAGCAAATATCAGACAGAGAAATGTAATTCAGTGCGAGAGGAGAAGCCACTGTGGTGTTTGTTCTTCTCTAATAAATGAGCTGCGCCTCAGAAGATGAAGACGAAATGCAATGAATGCGGTGGCTTTTGGAGGCGTGAGACAGGAGCGCAGACAGATGCTCAAGACATGTCTAGAGGGAATAATAGAAGAAGAAGAAGAATACTGAAGCACTGTGATGATGGACTGACGGAGGGCTGAGGCCTTTAACAATCAGCCAACAACATTTCACATCTGCAATAATGAAAAGAGAGCTGCAAACCAACATTAATGACGCAAACACCCTCAACACACACGATAATATCTGATCCAAAAAGCGCATCAATAGTTAGATGCAAACATAGCAGTAGCGTTACATACCGACTCTTTTTGGATCCGTCATCGGCGTCCTCGCTGTGACGTTCAGGCAAACCGTGGCCAGCATACACGACACCTCACGACCTCCTCGAATGCAGTCCTTATTAAAAACGTTGATTTTTGAGGGCTCAAAATGAACGCCGATGCCAACACGGACGACACTGCGAGACCTGTTCATGGGAATAAAAAACTGAGTAAAGTTCTGTGATGTTTTAATTGCGTTTCATTGTTCATTACCGAAGCAACAGATGACCAAATTTGGTTGCTTCTACATTGAGTGATTCATTGAGAAAGTGAATGGATGATTCAGTGAATCGTTGACTCAAATGATTCATTCAGGAGATTCAAAGTGTTTCTGCAGACTGTTTTTATTGATAGAACTAGTTAATTTTTAACATTAGATGCTGCTAATATACACACACTCAGGGTTCAACGCTAAGGATTTTTTCTACTGGTCCGATCGGGCAAGTGGTTTAGATTTTTACTTGCCCTGCCAAAATTTTCACTGGCCCCAACAAAAAAAAGGGAAGTTAATAGCTATTTTTTAACCACATATTTTAAACAATGTGTCAAAAATAAATTCTGTAAATCTAGAATTTCAATACTTAAAAAACAATTGTAAATATAAGTGTTATGCAAACAAAAAGAGCAGTATGGAAAATGTGGAGGCATTTTATTGCAGTTTGAAATTATTTAAAAAAAGGTGGCTGACTTGTCAAACTGATGGCAAACTATGCATAACATCACTTCATTATTTTGTCGTGTTGTTTCCATGTAAATGTCTACTTCCAACACGTTAGAGACAGACATTTTCGTTAAGCTTTTTAATTTGATGATGCCGCCATGTTGCTGTTTCTACGCTGTACTGGTTGTTACCAGGTTACAAAAAATATAAGATAGCAAAAAATATAAGCAAAAAATATAAGATAGCATGGTCAAATCAATCAGATAAGACGACTCAGAAAGCAATATGTTGTTAACGACATTACAGAGAAGGTAGCATTTAAAGATTTAAAAGCACAAACTTAAAATGCATGCAATTGACAAATAGTCACAGACAAATTAAATGTTAGTGACAAGGCAGCACTGTCCCAATCGGGCCAGTAATGATCCGGTCTGCTGTCCCAAGTGTCTCTCACGCTGGCCCTGGGCCACCGGGCAGTCCTTATTGTTGAGCCCTGACACTGCTGATACACAACTGTGTTTAGGTGTGGTTTATTTATAAACTAATTTTGAGAGGATAACGTGCTTATGATCAACACGGCTGGCACCTCATTAGCTTCGTAATCTGCCTGTCACAAGTAAATAATGTTCTGGTGAGTCCAAGTGCAAGTGAACAAAATTATAATTTATTAACACAGTCAAAACAAAAGCAAGGAATGAGTGCGGTGCTAGGACTAGGAGAAACAGGGCAGGAATCAGGCAGGAAACGGGGTCCAGTAAAAACTCCTCAGGTCCTGAGCACAGACAAGATAGCACCATAAGCATACGCAACGAGCTGACAATGAAACACTGAACACGTAGCACATATATAGGCACGATAATGAGTTTCAGCTGGCGAACAATCAATCCAGCTGAGTGCCGTCATGACACGTGACTAAAACAACTACACGTGGGCCACAAAAACAAAACAAACCCACATGATCAAACAGACACTGCGGAAGATCGCACAAACATGCAACCGTGACACTGCCCTATTGGATGATTACGGGAGTATTTTAAATAACCAAGTTTTTCACTCCAGTTATCTTCGTCTTAAAGCTTCCCCCCCTTCCACCCCTATTTCCTCTCTTTTTTTTCCCGATAGGGCGACACGGTGGCCCAGTGGCTAGCACTGTTGCCTCACAGCAAGAACACTGCTGGTCCAACCTCCTATCGGGCCAGTTGGCGTTTCTGTGCGGAGTTTCCATGTTCTTCCTGTGTTCATGTGGGTTTCCCCCGGGTTCCCCGGTTTCCTCCCACTGTCCAAAAACATAAACCATAGCCAATCGACTAAACCAAATTATCACCTAAGACAACCTTAGTTCACACTTCTCACACTGCGACAAGCAGGGGAGTTCTCCAGACCTACCTGAGCTTAAACTCCCCTCTCGCCCTTCTAATGGGAGGGAGCCCCGGGCTTGAAAGTATTACGAGCTCAGGGCTCTCTCCCGGGACAGCATGCCAATTACGCTTTATTGATTATCAGCTAAGTGTGAACTCTTGAAACCTCTTATATAGTGATTTAATTGAGGGGTCAATCCCCACCAAACTTCCCTGTAATTTGTATCCTGGTCTAAACCCCTTACAAGAGTGATTTTTGCATAAAAGTTCCAGTTTTAATTCAAGTTTGATTAGCTCACATATAATAGTGCAAACTCACCAGAGCAGAACTGCGGCCCCAAAAGAGCCCACAGACAGATCTACGAGCCCGTCTCCATTCAGATCCATCATCCCGTGAACACTGCGGCCGAAATAACGCAGTCCTGGAGCCAGCTCAATGCCCGATATCCTCTGAAAGTAGAAATATTAATAATTAAAACTTGCTTGGTGACACTTTACAATGAGGTTGTGTTAGTTAATGTATTTACTAACACGAACAAACAATGAACAATACATTTATTACAGTATTTACTGATGTTTGTAAATGTAAGTTAATAAATAAATCACAGTGCATTAAATAATGTTAAAGAGCATCTATATAGATTTCCATAGTGCATTAGTAAATGTTGAACTGTAGTCAGGTAATCTGCATACATCAATTGCAATTTCTTTGCAGAATTTAGTAAAAAATACTATTTATTAATGTGGAATGGTTTGGAAGTGTAGTGACTAAAAACTAAATTAAAAAAATAGTAACTTTATTCAAGGTTTACAATGCACATCCAATTTGTTTGGTAAACAAAGCAAGAATCTCATGTAAAATATTTACTAAAAGACAGAAAAAATGACTTTACAAACTGTATCATACAAACATTTGCATATTAGTCTTTCAGTATATTATTAAAATTAATACAAAAACCTGAACACATGTATATTTACACACATTTGCATAAGAAAATGAACAGATGATGGCTAAAAATCATTGTGTTGTCTTAACTATGATTAATAAATCAATATATATGGTACAATCTTTGTTCATACTTATTAAATGAATTTGCAGATGAATTTGCTCTTCAGTGTTTGGACTCTCAGTAATGACTTTAAACCACACTGAACTGAGCTAAACTGAACTGAACTCAAACACTAAAAACTGAACTACCCTGATCCAGTTACTATGACCATTTATGTGAAGCTGCTTTGACACAATCTACATTGTAAAAGCGCTATACAAATAAAGCTGAATTGAATTTAATTAAATACGTTAACAAATGAAAAATAAATATGAGCGAATATTTTGTATTTGGCCTGACTGGAATGTGGTTCATTCATGTTTATTAACTATCAGTCACTCTCAGTTAACTCGTACCTGTTTATATTTGGTTTGTATGCTGTTTTTCAGCCCGTAGAAGAGGTAAATGGCTCCTCTGTGGTTGTCCTCCAATGGTGCACCGACTACCAGCTCGCTGAAACCGTCACCATTCAGATCCGGAAGAGCCGACATGGCCGCCCCAAACCGAGAATCATGGGAATGTTCTGACGGACCAAGAGTCCCATCTGGTATAAAAGAGCCCTGTATAATAAACAGACATTTAACATGGTATTATAGTTTATGACTATCCTGAAAATGTGATTGAAACCTCTCTGATTTATTGTTCATGAACACTAGTTAAAAAATAAGGATCCGACTGCTAACGTTAGTCAAACTCATCTGATAATGAAAACTACTTGCAAAGAATGGGTGATGTTAATATCTTAGTTAATCTTATATATCTCTTTAAAATCAAAATCCATTAGTATTGTATTTAATGCTAATAAGATAACATTAACATAACCTATATAACAAATATAGACCTAAGTAATATTTACTAATGATATATTATTGCCTATTTGCAGTTCAATTAGTTCATTTGTGTACTCTTTTATATACGTTTATGTAAACAATCCACAAATATACTGTAATATAATATACAAATATATTTTATCTGTTCTTATACCTGGTAGACTAACCCTTTCTGCAGTTTAAATTGTAATATATTGTGATAAAAGCTATAATCACGACACAATTGTACTGTCATTATAAGCTTTCAGATATTACTCAATACATCAAACATTGTCCATATATGAACGATTGACCAGTTTCATGGTTCATTTTACAAACAATAACGACATGCCACAGTATTTCAGTATCTAATGTTGATTCTGTAATCACTCTGATTTAATCAACGATTTGTTTTATCATTTGAACCCATTACAGAAATAGTTCGTTAGTCTGTTGAATGACTCTTTAAAAGAACCGATTCATAAGAGTCATTTGCCGGTAAAACAGATCATAGCGGTTGACAAGAACCGGTTCATAAAAGCCATTTGCTCTAAATAATCACAAAAAAAAAAAAATGTATACTGTCATAATTAAGCTTTCAAATATTACACTCGATACATTAAACAATGTCCATATGAATGATTGACAAATTTCAAGGTTCATTGCACAAACATTATCGAAAATAACGACATGCCACAGTATTTCAGCATCTAAAGTTGATTCAGTAATCAATCTGATTCAATTAACAATTTGTTTTTATCGTTAGAACCCGTTGTTTAAAGCCAGCAATAGTTTGTTAGTCTGTTAAATGACTCTTTAAAAGAACCGATTCATAGGAGTCATTTAATTGTGAAACAGACCAAAGCGGTGAACAAGAACCGATTCATAGGAGTCATTTGCATATAGGCTTTGGATCGCACTCCGCTTTGTTTTTATGTGTTATGCGACAATATAACGCAACAATATACATTTTTACCTCATAATATTCAAATAACCTTACATTTCACAAAAATATATGTTTTATTTTTATGTAGTTTGATTCGCCGTCCGTAAACAAGCATTGTAACGTAACTTTTCTCCAAACATTCAGGTTTTTTGGAGTTAACAACATTTGTTTGAGGTAAAATAATGCTGTTTATCATGCTTTTACCTGTAAACCTACGGTGTAGATATAAACTTTTCCTTTCTCCCATCCTCTATAGAAGTACATTGGAGCTCCGACCAGTAAAAGATCCGTTAATCCGTCGTCATCCACGTCGATCGGTGCCAGTTCACTTCCATAATACGACCCGATCTACAATCCATCAAAACGTAAGTTAAATAACTGTTCAAGAACCATACTCGTCTGTGGCTCAAATTAAAGTGGTACTTGGCATAAATTATGCCTTCCGAAACAGTGAATCATTTGAATCGATTCACTCGATAAAGTGATTCACTGCTTTGCACGTTGTTGATCTACTGGGGAAAGCGTGTATATGCAAACATACAGTACAATATTTAACACCATGTTCTACAGAAACCTTGCTTAATACATTTTATAATAGTAAAATTAATTTAAATATTTTTTTTTTAAATTATACATTTCTTTCTGCCAATCAAATGACAAAAGTAAGTGATTCGAGTTAAAAGAGGCCGAGAAGTTTCAGTGCTTTCTGCAAATAATGCTTTTAACAAAGAGGTAAAGTAAAACACATCATATTAGCATTTAAAAGTCAAGCAAATGTGATGTATTTCAACCGCATCAGTGATGGAAGACGCATCAAACTATTTTGAACTCACATTTCAACCTTGAGAAGAGTTTCTGTCGGCTTTACAAATGCCAGAAAACAGACACACTTTATCACATTCCCGTCTTAAGTGCTTCCCAGAGGACACACACACACACACATGCACAAACAGACTGCACATACACACAGATGGACACATACACGCACAGTGACAAACACTCGCACACACACATAAACACACACATGAATGGAAGATGGACACACGCACAGACACACCCACACAAAAACAAATAAACACACACAAAACAAACAGACACACACAGAGACAAATGAACATGCAAGCACACATATACACACAAACAGATGCACAAAAACACACACTCATACACAGACACACACACACACTGATGCATAACAAGCTGATGGCTAAATGAATGTTTTGGTCGACGTGCAGCAGCGTTTATTGTGTGCAATCACGATAGACCATACACACAAGCACACACACACACACAGACGCCTGGCCATCTGGAGCGGGTGACTGAGTCTAGACCTTCACACACAATCTCCTGTCCACACACATGGTCTGCATTAATCTTCTGAAGTTCCAATCAAACACCACCGTTTCACAGAGAGAGAGAGAGAGAGTGAGAGGTAGAAGGTATGATGGAAAAATGATTCAGACAGATAGATCAGAGGATTTTAGCCAAGTGAGTAGTTGCAGCACTTTTACATGCACTATTTCATGCAAATTACTCCTATTAAAGATTAATCGCAACACGACTATTTTCACGGGCGCAATTAACATGGCAGTATTACCGTCTGTGGAGAGCGTGCTGTGAAAGCACGTGTTCTGATGGAGGAGGAACAACCTGATCTTGCTGGAATTTGGAAAATATTTGATGTTTTGGCAGATTAGAACTGGATATGGTTTGTGTGATGCCTCTTGATTCACGGAGACACGCATTTATTATTTTCATGAATCAAAAAAAAGGTGATGAATTTTAAAGAAGTTGAGTTTAAATATTTTCATTCCTTCATTCTTTTTATTTTCGACTTCGACCTTTTATTCACCAGGCGTCTCCACAGTGGAATGAACTGCCAACTTATCCAGCATATGTTTTAAGCAGTGGACGACGCCCTTCCAGCCGCAACCCAACACACTCAGGCCCCGTTTACGCTAGTGCGTTTTAGTTTTAAAACAGCGTTTTAGAATAGTGATGGTACGTTCATGAACGATTCGTTCATTTTAAACGAATCATCAATATGACTCGGGAACTACGAGTCCTCTCAGGGAGTGATTCGTTCATCCGCGCGTGCGCACATTCGTGCAGGTAGGATCGTTAATTTCAAGTCTTCATCACATTGGCAGAAGCCAATATGCGCAAGTAGGTATAGCTGCAGCCCGGAGACCTGCAAGTGGGAGGGATTACACCGCAAGTAGGTTGGGTGACCTCCAAGTGGGAGGGACTAAAATCGCAAGTAGGTTGGGTTTATCAGGTTACTGTGAGGTTGGGTTTAGGGTTGGATTTAGGCGTATACGTTAATAAAACACAACAGGTTACTGTGAGGTTGGGTTTAGGGTTAGGTGTACAATTTCATAAAGCACAATATTCAAGTCTAAATACAACTAAGGCTGCTTTCACACCTGTGAATGGATTCAGTTGTTCCGAAACAGAGATTTCAATTGTTACATTGTTGCTCTTTGCTCTTCGAGCGGTTCGCTTTCACACTGCAAAGTTTCTAATCGGACTAAAAGAGCTAAAACAAGTCACGTGCGAGTAAACTCTCCTCACATTGGTCAGAGTGTCAGGGTTTATTTTGCAGCGTCCCGCTCAGCTGTCAGGAGAGGTGGTGGTTTGGTGGTGATTGACAGGGTGCGCGCGTGACGTGTCTGAGGAGAGACGCGGTGGGGAGGGGTGAGAAGGGTGCACGACGATGCCTATTTGAGGACCGGGAGAGAGACGCGAGATTACCGGGAGATCATCACTCGTTTGCGGGCATCCGGAGACTCACGAAACTTCCCGCCCTACTCATAATTCTCTCTTCATATAACCGTATGCCTATTACATATCCATAAAACACTGTGATATAACCGCGCTCGGATCGGACCGCTTTCTCACTGCAATCGAACCGCTCCAGGGTTCGTTTCAATCGAGCCGAGACCACCTCATTCAAGCGATCTCGGAGCGATTACTTTGGCGCGGAACAGAGCGCGATTGCCCTGTTCACATATGCCAATCGAACCGCGCTAACTGGGCAAACGAGACACGTTCCGAAACAAAAGTGTAGGTGTGAAAGCACACTAAATAAGGTTTGCCCAGCCCACTTGGAACTCCAAGACCCACCCACTTGGAGCTGGCTCCGGCCTCCATTTATACCTTTCTCAATATGCGTTTAGATGCGGAAAAAGTTTTGATCCGCTCACCTCTCGAGTCCTCTATCGGATCTGAGTCTCTCGTTCCTCAAGGGCCAATCATACACGTTTAGAGCCGTAAAAAATTGAACCATTCATCTCTCGAGTCCTCTATCAGGTCTGAGTCATTCGTTCATCATGAGCCAATCATACGCGTTTAGAGCCGTAAAAAAATTGAACCGTTCATCTCTCGAGTCCTCTATCAGGTCTGAGTCATTCGTTCATCATGAGCCAATCATACGCGTTTAGAGCCGTAAAAAAATTGAACCGTTCATCTCTCGAGTCCTCGGGTTTGAGTCATTATGTCACGTGATGAACGAACGATCATGGCTCCTATCGGCTTAGACTATGCATTGATTAGTGTAACGTGAATGAACCCCTGACATTTGAAGACATGAAGAGGTGAGCTGAGCAAAGAGACAACAATACCTTCATAGATAAGAGCAGGTCAACATTGAATTAGTATTTTCTCCTTCTTATATTCTATTTATGACTTATTTGTCGTGTGATCAACCTTTTGGGCTGGTTGTAGATGTGTTTGGAAGCAATTTGTAACATTTTATTAATATTTTGGAAAATTTAACCAAATGAACGAAATGACTCGAAAAAAGACTCGTTCATCTCAATGAACGAAACTCAAAGATCCGAGTCAGTAAAATGATCCGAACTTCCCATCACTATTTTAGAATGAAAACGATCCGCGTCCACACTAGCGTTTCACCCAGCGCTTCTGAACAGCTCTCTGTCTACACCACAAGACTGAAAACGCACATCACGTGACCACACACACTCACACACTGGCATGCGCTGCAGCCTATCTACCCAGATGAGAGCTGTGCTCGGAGTGTTTATCAAGGATCTCCCGCTGGATTTAATCTCACTATATTTGTTAAACGTCATATTTAATCATCTTGTTGTGTATATCTATCGACATATTCCCCGACTTTGGTGTTTTGAATCTATTACTTGTTCTCAGGTAACGTGTATTGGCTGAGCAAAGATAAGTTAATAATTGATGTAACCATGTACATTCTGTATATTGAGTAATTGCTTGCCTTCATTTCCTATAATGTATAAACTTACTGTACGTTATACTTTTATAATGGCCGTTATTGATTATATAAACATATTCAGCAAAAGAGAGGTTGTTTTTCGTATTTTCAATGAAAATGAATGGAGGCAGTGGTGTTATAGGCTCCGTCTTGTCGAGGGCGTAGATTTGCTCTTGACATTGGTGGCGACACACATCCCTAGAGCTGCACTGATCAGCACAAATTCTGTTTTGTGCTTTTAAAAACACGAATAAACACTTAATAATACAAATAACAATCATGTTCCATGCTGCAAAAGTCCATTTACATGATTTTACTGCAGTCAGGCTTTGAGGAGGTATGAATGTAGAGAGATTTAGAGAGATGTGTGACGCTATTTAACTGTTTTATCCCGATTATTGTTTCTTATAATCATGGAGGCCTAAATTAAAACTTTGATCGAATCAAAATTTCGATTAATTGCACACAGTTGGTTTGTAGTATTACGGTGAACTCATAGCAAACTTGACTTTGTGCATGTTTAGTTTACTAAGGGCTGATGAAGCATTATTTTATTTTGATTAAATTTTTGGTATAGGGACATTTCAGTAATTGGTGGATATTGGTGGGGACACGTCCCCTCCATCCATGCCAATTCTACGCCCTTGCGTCTTGTTATGAATACGCACGCAATGAAGATGACGCTCATATATGCAGCACAACGCCTCAACATTTCTGCAGTCTGTTAAGTTGTTCATATCAAAATGAAAATAGCAGTTCCTTCATGTTTTTATGCTATTGTTAAGAAAGTGAAACAACCTAGCCAGGGTGATGTGAATAAGGTTATAAAGTGCACAAATGCCTTTGAAGGTTTACGCGACTTGTCCTCGGGAGTTTGTTTTCCAAATCAGTGGATGCAGAACTTAACTGTGTGTGTAGGCTACTTAATATTGAGGAAAAGCCCCAATCAGAGAGGCGAATGTCGGCAGCCCCGCCTCCATTTTCAGATGTCTCCATTTTTTCCCATCCACACTGAGACGGAGCAGCAGTGTTTTAGGATGAAAACGGCCTCTTTAGCATTTTCAAAACGCTCTGTTTTCTGCACTCGAAAACTCCGGCGTAGTGTGGACAGATGGCGTAACCGTAGCAAAACTTATGCATTTTCAAACTAAAACGCATTAGTGTAAACGGGGCCTAAATCACACTCATGCACGGACAATTTTAGCTTTTTCACCTGTAGCACATGTGTTTGGACTGTGGGAGAAACCGGAGCACCCGGAGTAAACACATCCTAATACGAGGAGAACATGCAAACTCCATACAGAAATGCCAACTGATCCAGCCGGGGCTTAAACCAGCGACCTTTTTGCTGTGAGATGATTGTATTACTCACTGAGCTACCATGATGCCCCAGTTTAAATATATTGTTTTGTTTTTTGCATAAAAGAAAAATCACCAACTCTGTATATATTATATTGCATTTTATGTCATTACACTCATTACAAATTACATTACAAATGCTGGGTTGTTTGTATCCAAATTAGGGCAAACCCAACTTTTGGGATAAATATTCAAATTTAGCTGCAAAAAAAATCAACCCATAGTATGTAGTGCTGTCACCTCACAACAAGAAGGTCGCTGGTTCTAGCATCAGCTGGGTCAGTTGTTGGTGTTTCTATGTGGAGTTTGCATGTTCTCCCCGCATTCGAGCGGGTTTCCTCCTGATGCTCTGGTTATCCCCACAGTCCAAAGACATGCGGTGCAAGTGAATTGGGTAAGCTAAATTTTCCGTAGTGTATGTTTCCCAGAGATGGATTCCAGCTGGAAGGGCATCCGCTGCGTAAAACATGTGCTGGATAAGTTGGTGGTTCATTCCGCTGTGGCGACCCCTGATTAAAAAAGGAGCTAAGCCGATAAGAAAATGAATGGAAATCAACCCAACATTGGGTTTGTCCATATTCGACCCAAAGTTGCATTGCAACAACCTGGATTTTTTTTTAGAGTGTGCATGCAATATATTATATTATCTTATACTAATATTATATTATATTAGTAATACTACTACTAGTAATAATACTAATATATAAATATTACTTTTTGCATGCATTAGAATAACAAATGAACTTATAAAATAGTTTCCCAGTACTGGGTTGTGGCTGGAAGGGCAACCACAGTGTGAAACAGTGGTCACCAAACTTGTCCCTGGAGGGCCGGTGTCCTGGAAATTTTAGCTCCAACCCTAATTAAACACACCTGATCAAGTTAATCAAGCTCTTACTAGGTATACTTGAAACATCCAGGCAGGTGTGTTGAGGCAAGTTGGAGCTAAACCTTGCAGGGACAGGACAGAGATTGGTGACCCTTGGTGTAAAACATATGCTGGAATAGTTGGCGGTTCATTTTGCTGTGGCGACCTCTGATAAATAAGGGACTAAGCCAAAGGAAAATGAACGAATGAGCTCATAAATTAAAAAAGCAGTATTCAATAATTGAACACGTTCTGGTTTCCCCCACAGTCTAAACACATTCGCTATAGATGAATTGAATAAACTAAATTGTCTGTAGTGTATGTGTGTGAAAGAGTGTGTATGGGTGGTTCCCAGTGTTGAGTTGCCACTGGAAGGGCATTCTCTGCGTAAAACATATGCTGAATAAGTTAACATATGCCTGATGAATAAAAGGACTAAGCCGAAAAGAAAATGAATGACTTTAACACCTAAGGCTGCTTAAATAATCATCAAGAAATGCCTAAAGCTTTGCACTTTTGTTAGGATTTACTTGAAGAGATTTTCATTTTGGTTAAAAAGTAAAACATAAATTTCATTGAAAAAATTATGCAAAAACCTGGGTTTGTCCATGTTTGACCCAACGTTGGGTTTAAAGAGCATTTTCAAAATGTACTGCACACTTTTGCGCGTATCTCAAGTGTGCATGCACATGATATATTCTTGGTGGCGATGATTTGGAGCTTTAATAGTGCATTTTAGTATTGTTTTTTAACTGTAGTTCAGATTTTTACTCCTTTGACATATTTTATGTGTTTATGTTTAATGCCTGAACAGTTGTTTTGATCTACAACAGTTATAAAGACTTTCAGTTGTAGTTGCTGATCTCTGTTTTTGGTTGTGTATCAATTGTTTGTATATGAAAGTGTATTGGAGTCGTTTGTGAAGCATTAAAGTTTGGCGATGCTTGTTCTAGTAGTGTGTGTTGGTGGTTTTACCTGCTTCCCGTAGAGAGAATAGAGTATGGTGAGGTTTCCGCTGTTGGTCAGAGTGAAAATGACCACTTTCCCTGTGTGGTTGAATCGGGGCGCTCCAGCGACGTACAGCTGACCGTGATGAGCAGAGACCACCGACGACACCATATACCCTAAAGACAAGGCATTCTTATACATTGACCTCCATCCTGTGGTACATTTTGATTTGGTGGCTACACACATGGAAATTAAACTCCTAATGTTCCACTGAGGAAAGGGTTTGTAAATGGCTCAAAGCTGAGTACATGGGGATTTCTGTCAGTCATGGAGTCAGATGCTCATTGGTTCTAGCTGAAAACGCTCTGTTGTTCTTACCCAGATACGCTCCGTGGTTCTTCAGCTCCTCCGGGAACTCTTTCATATAAGAAGACTTTGGTGGGATGACTTTACCATGTCGGGTCTCTTTCAGAACCGCTCCGTTCCAGTCGTAAGCACCAACTGCACCAACCAGTATCCCGTCCTTTAAGAGAAAGTTTGCATCTTCATTAGTTTACATGTCATTTTTTAACCATGTGTCATTGTGGTACTCGTGGTACTCAATGCTAGGCTGTCATAACCCAATAAAGGGTCAATATGAACAAACTAGGGCTGGGTGATAGAAATCACATATTACGATAACGACAAATATCACAAAATAATACCATTTCTGTAAATTCAATCAAGTAATAGTTTATCTACACTCACCGGCCACTTTATTAGGTACACCTTGCTAGTACAATGCTGAACCTCTTTTGCTTCAGAACTGCCTTAATCCTTCATGGCAGAGATTCAGCAAGCTACTGGAAATATTCCTCAGAGATTTTGCTCTATATTGACATGAAAGCATCACACAGTTGCTGCAGATTTGTCGGCTGCACATCCATGATGCCAATCTCCTGTTCCACCGCATCCCAAAGGTGCTCCATTGGATTGAGATCTGCTGACTGTGGAGGCCATCAGAGTACAGTCGACTCATTGGCCCAATTCCAATCCTACCCCTTAGCCCTTCCACTTTAGGGGTGTCTCAATTCTCTTTAGCTTGAAGGCGTAGAGCTAAGGGGAAGGGCTTGGTAGCCCTTGAAACAGATTCTTCAAGACAACCAACCAACAGCCATGCCACGTTCAAAGTCACTTAAATAAGGGGTTCTCAAACTTTTCAGTCCATGACCACCAAAATCTAGTGACTCGTGAACCCTAATATCCTCTGAGGTGGTTATAAATATACAAACCTTACACATCGGCACACACATACCAATAGGCCCTTGTCTATTCATCATTTAGTTTTGAAGAACGCCGCTCGGAGACCATCCTCCATGTTCAGTTGTGGCCTGTATTTATGTTTAATGTACACGAGTGCCCTAAAGATGTCAGAAAGTTTAAGCTGGTGCGTTAAAATTAATGTGCTGTCTCTTTAATATTACATAATCACCCCAGGGGTCACAAAAAATAGAAAGGCTGATGGCTTTTTATTTGCATGTTGTTTTTAAAATGTAACTAGTAACTACATTTTTTTTCTTCTGTAGGTTATTTATAAAATATGGTAATTCTAATAGTTTAATAAAATGAATTAAATTTTTGATAATCCCCCGAAAATCCCCCACTGACTTAAATCACCTTTTTTTCCCCATTCTGATACTCGGTTTCAGCTGCAGCAGATCGTCTTGACCACGTCTGCATGCCTAAATGCATTGAGCTGCTGCCATGTGATTGGCTGATTAGAAGTTTGTGTTAATGAGCAGTAGGACAGGTGTACCTAATAAAGTGGCCGGTGAGTGTATATGCCACGTTAAGGAATATTTTTTTACATTTAAATATTTAATAAATGATAAAACAACATGAGGCCCACCATAACATTATTTTTTTTTTGCAGAATAAAATGCTAAATGTAAAACATTGTGCTTTTAAGATTGCATCTTTCTCACTATGCCGTTTTTCGTGGTTCAGTCTGTATCCCCGAAATGGTGTGTAATATAGTGCTTGTATAAATGATAAAAAAGTCTTATCATAAACAATGCATATCGTGACACCATGAAATAAACAATAATACACAATAATAATATTTACTTGTTTGTCCATACAATATATGTATGTCAGAATATTACACAGTCCTAGAACAAATCCAGTGTTGGGTTCATTTTTTCAATGAAATTTAAAGGACACATTTTAACCCAATGGTTTGGTTCGTCCATATTTCAACTTAACATGGATTACAGCAACCCAGCATTTTGTAATGTACATAATACACACTCTTGCATCATAGGGTTGGTGTACCTGCAGCGAAGTCTCAGTGAGTATTATGGGATCTTAACAAGCGGTCTGGCAGTGCCTTCAGCCGTATAGAGAACGCAAACAGAGCATATTTGCCAAACCTCTCCCGCACCAATCTGAGAGCCAAAAACACTGCACTGCATTAACATCTGGGACTGTAGCGTTCATTTAAAGCCATAATGAACTGCCCTGTTCCTGACCGACACCACTACTGTGCTGAGATACACGCTCCTGGTCATAGTTTTGACTTTTACTTCACCACAATGCTGCCTGCAATGTACAATCATCCACCAACATGCAAACCTTTTTGACGGTACTTGTCTATTTGTGTCTACATATGTGTGTAATGTGTGTTTTTGTGGTCTACATACATATGTGTGTAATGTAACGTATGTTTTGTCTTCTGTACAGACTGTATTTAACTGTTAATAGTATATTGTTTTGGAGTACGTTGTTGTATTTAGCACTGTCTGGAGCCAGCACCTAAGCTTTTAAATCATTGGATAGCACACAGGATTTGATTTGTTATTTTAGTTTGTAGTCAACATAAATGCACAAATTAATGGCAAAAAGCTAGAAAGTTTTAAATGTCTGCCAGGGCAGGCTCTTCTCACTTGGACTTTTTGTCTTGTTTCTAGTCCAAATATCAAAAAATTCTGATATCAAGAAACATTTTCTAGACAAGTGAAAAATATTGTCTTGTTTTCAGAAATGATTAAATAATTAAGTTTTAAATTGAGTTTTTCCTCAAAACAAGCAAAAATAATCTGCCAATGGGGTAAGAAAAACAAAATTGTTTTCACTTTGAAGTAACATTTAATTTGCTTACCCCACTGGCAGATTATTTATTTATTTTTAAAAAAAAATTATTATTATTATTATTATTTATTTTTTTTTTTTATTTATTTTTTTTTTTAAGGAAAAACTCACTTCATTTTGACTCAATATTTCTGAAAACAGGACAATGTGTTTTGCTTGTCTAGAAAATGCTTCTTGATTTAAGAAATGTTAGATATTTGGCCTAGAAACAAGACAAAAATTAATTTTTTTGCAGGTTTCTGTTCAGGTGTTGAGGTTGTAAGAGGCTAAATTATCATATGCATTTGTTTATATGACAAAACATGTCTTTTTGACTCAAGAAGGTCCATACTGACTACAAAGGCAGATACTGATAAGATCAGGGTCTGATATGCGGACTTTGGGGGTTTTATGGTGTGGCCATCTGTTGATTGGTCAGTTTGAATGTCTTGAATGGCTTTAGTCACATGGTCAAGAAAGATACAAAATAGGTGGTACACTCGAGCTCTGTCTCTTTTCCTGCCCTCTCTTTTACGTCTCTGTGCTTTCTGCTCTGCTCCTCTCCTCCTCTGGAGTCTATCTTCTCTGACTCTACTGCAATCAGGCTAACGTCTCTCTCTCCCTTCCTCTGTCTCTCTCCTTCTACCTCTGGTAACTTTAATTTTACATTTAAGCTGGTACAATCGTACAATTTATATCATATGTTTTTATCATTTCATATTTTATCATTTATACTGTTATTTTGTAATTAATTCAGTTGTAACCATAGAGAATTATTGTCATTTAATCATCTCATTTTCAAGTATTTGTGAATTACTTTTGATTTAACATCAATATTTAATTGTTCCATATTGCAATACAATACAATCACATAATATCGTCACTCTCCCACATTTATAGCTATTAACACTGCCCTTATTTCCGTTTTTGGTATGAGATTGCAGAAGAATGGTTTGACTAGAAATGTACAGTTTTTTACCATCATGCTGATTAATTTTTAGTCGCTCGGCAGAACTACAATTCGAACTGCTGTGGTTAAAACCTATTCTTTACAAGGTGTTTCGGAAGGCTGTCTTGAGTAATTATTGTCATCTGTGTCACGCCATAAAACCACTTGCAGGAAAATTCTGAAATTTGGCAAACAGATAGAGAACAGTATGAAGATTAACTCACAACAAATTTGGAATTTTCTGTTTTTTTTTAGCGCCACCATCTGTGCAAATCTGCACTTGCAGTTGCGTGAACATTTTCAGACACCCAAACATTAAATACAATACATAATCATTCTTCAATTTTTCCTTTGACTTAGTCCCTTATTTATCAGGGGTCACCACAGCGGAATGAACCGCCAACTATTCCAGCAAATGTTTTACACAGTGGATGCCCTTTTAAACGCAACCCAGTCTGGGAAACACCCATACACACTCATTCACACACACACACTCATACACTACGTTCAATTTAGCTTATTCAATCTGCCTACAGCGCATGTGTTCAGAATGTGGGGGAAACCGGAGCACCCGGAGGAAACCCACGCCAACATGGGGAGAACATGCAAACTCCACACTGAAATGCCAACTGGCCCAGCCGGGACTCAAACCAACAAACTTCTTGCTTTTAGGCCACTGAGCCACCGTGCCGCCCTATATTGTATTATAATTTGAAAAGGTTATATTTAACTGCTCCTGTTAGGTTCAGTCATGACATAAAAACTTTTATTTGTGAGAAATGACCTCATGTGATTTAATAATACCAAGCATTGTTAGTGTTCTGGGTAGTTGTTCCAGTGCATTTCTCAGTAACCCCCACAGTTCAAGGCATCATTCATTTTTTTGCACAAACTCTGCAGGACGAGTTGCACAATCAGTTCTCAATACTCAGTGTCAGGGGTTTTGCCTTTGCATGCGCCGCTAATAAAAAGCGAATGGAACAACGCACAGCGTATATTGGAGAGTTTATTGTGCAAATGTGCCATGGAACGCAGTCAAAGTGTCCACGTCGACAACGCATGAGGAAAACTTTGGCAGAGAGTTTCAGGCCTGCAGTCAAACTCACAGATGAGCCTCGCTCGCATGCATGCATCCAAGATATCAAAAAGCCGAAGACTTTTCTGCCTGTTTTATCACAAAGGGTGGTCCAGATTCCACCGCTTGCAACCAAAATATCTTTCCTGTGAATTAAACTGAGTCTCTGTCTTCGAGGAGAATATTGGTTATATTTGCTAAGCCAATTATCACTACAGAGCTGTTTAAAGTCCAAATAGCAGGGGAGAATCAGCATTGTCAAGCCAGAGTTTCCCTCGGGAACGTCTACTCGTGTTTTTCTGTGGTTAACGTTACTTCAATTGGCATTCGTGATTTGTTATACAACATAAATGACACAATCATACTGCACAAATGTGAATGCTGAAGCCGC